CGGTGTTGGCCTGGTTAACAGGCGGCCTCTTGTCATCAAATCACTCATGCAGTTGTCTGACAACAGAAAGAAAAATACATAAGTGAAAACAACTAAATTGGTAGATGATGATTGAGCTTAGCAGCGTAACCAGACTGTCTGACCTGTGGCCTGTACTACGAAGGGAGTTTATCCTATTCAGAGTTAACTCAGGGGTATCAAGCAAACTCAGGTCTGACAAACTCTGACCGGCTACACTGGTGTTAAACGTTACTACGACGGTGAATAAGATGTCAGTTAGTTGAGTGGGTGTGAACTTGAATAGGTGCGCGTTCGCATAAAAGGAGCGTGGTCGGCCGTCAGATTCAGCAGGGAGTTTAGCCCACAACACTATATTATCATGCACCTTAGAGACTTTGCCGTGAATTGGGTGTAGGCTATTCAGAAGGAAACACCAGAGTGATTTGAATTTTTTGTGACTTTAATTTCAGGAAATTGCGATTTTTGTTCTTGTAGATTTATCCCTTTTTTGGAGATTTTTTTTTTTCTCCGCTATTAACCCCCACCCTGGCTCCGTATTTTTTGGACGTGTAAAATAGTCATTGTAAATATGTGAAAACAGTTAGGATAATTAAATTATAGCCTACAGATCAGCTACATCTCAGAAACTGTCCCGTTATTTAATTAAGATCTCCTCCCTAAAATCACAGAGGCTGCAGGGCTCGCTGTAACGTCATTTTAGCTGCAACCGCAGTGGAACAAATCAGGAGGAAATTTAAAAATATTTTATCAAGTGGTGTGGATTAATAGCCTACATCATTAACACTGAGTACAGGTGTGGTGTGTAGTCCGCATACATAGAGTAACCTTGAGTTAAAGATAACCTGCTCGGAGCAGTTTAGAGATGCAGCGTAAATTGCCATGGCAACAGACCTTGGTTAACACCTATCCACCTTTCGTAGTACTGAAGATACCTGGACAGTTACCTCGCTTCGTAGTACAGGCCCCTGCTGTCCACTAGGGGTTAGCTGAGATGCAGCGTTTTTGTTGCTGTTGCCAGCTGAAACACGACAGTTAAGGCGTTCTCTAGGAAAATAACCATTGTAAACACAAGTTTTGCAATGTCGCCAACTTATCATGGTCATATGGGAGAAGAAGGCCCATGGGAGACCTTGATTTGAAGGCCAGAAACCACAGCCTCATCTGGGTATCTGAACCCAGCAATGTTTCAGGTGAAAGGGACTTAAATCTCTTGTGCCACCAACAGTTCTTTGTTTTGCACAGGTACCACTGTGGAGATGTCCACCCAGGTCTTTGCCTGCTCCGAGTGTCCATTCTTCCACATGCAGGAGTCCTACCTGCTGCAGCACATTGAGCACAGTCACCCTGAGCAGTACAGCAAACTCCAGAGGGCCGCAGAAACAGTCGAGGCCCCCAAGAAGAAGGCCCAGCGAGCTGAGTTCCCGAAGCCTTTCCCCATCCACGACAGGCCTGACCCTCACATGTGCCAGGAGTGCGGCAAAACTTTCACACGCGCCTCAGACGTGACCCGTCACCAGCGGACGCACACGGGTGAGCGCCCGTACGCCTGCGAGCAATGCAAGAAGGGCTTCAAGAACTCTTGGGACCTGACCAGACATCAGCGCATTCACACCGGAGAACGACCCTTCCTCTGCTCCCAGTGTGGCAAGCGGTTCACCCAGATGGGGTTGCTCAAGCTGCATTTCGAACGAACCGCCTGCGGCCAGACTTGCAACCCTCCCCTCGACCTAACGACAGAGGTGGTAGTAGCAGAGGAGACGTCAGAGAAAGGGGAGGGCCACTACAAATGCCAGAAATGCGGCGAGAGCTTCAGTAGCATCCTGGAGAGGCTGCGGCACAGGCAGAGGCACGTGGTGAGGCGTCAGTACAAATGCTCCCTGTGTGAGAAGATATATAGCCGAGCGTCGGACCTCAAGAGACACCAGATGAAACACACCGGCGAGCGGCCATTCGCATGCGAGTGTGGGAAAAGCTTCACGCATGTGTGGCTTCTGAATAAGCACCAGCAGATCCACAACAGGGAGCGTCCGTACCCCTGCACAGATTGTGGAAAGAGCTTCACTCAGCTCCAGATCCTTAACAGACACCTGCTGACTCACAGCGGCCAGCGGCCTTTCCAGTGCTCCTACTGTGAGAAGAGCTTCACCCAGCTGGCCAGCCTCACACGCCACGAAAGAATCCACACGGGCGAGAGGCCGTACCTCTGCACCACCTGCGAGAAGACATTCCTCACACACGGAGAGCTGGTGAGGCATCAGCGCAGCCACAGTAACCTCCGGCCGTTCAGTTGCCCCCAGTGCCCGAAGAGCTTTAAAACCAAGCGAGCTCAGAGTGAACACCTCAACACACACACAGGAGAGCGTCCATTCGCATGCACCCGTTGCGGGAAGAGGTTCGCCAAGTCGACCTCACTCGTCCGGCACAACCTGACTCACACGGGGGAACGGCCCCACCAGTGCTCCCAGTGCGGGAAGACCTTCCTCACCTCTGGCGAGCTCCTCCTCCACAAACGGATCCACACGGGAGAAAAGCCGTATCCCTGCTCCTACTGCGAGAGGAGGTTCAGGTGCTCCTCCGACCTCAACATGCACGTTCGAACACACACCGGGGAGAAGCCGCACAGCTGTCTGCTCTGTAAGAAGAGTTTCTCTACGTCCACGAGGCTGAAGAGACACACACGCACACACATGGAGAAGGGTATAGTTGTGGAATCATTCAGTCTTTGAGCTGTTAGGAATTTTTATTTTATTTATCAGAAGATGATTATTGTTTTGACATTAAAATAAAAAGTCAGATTAATAGTTTCTTTTTTTTTTTATTGTGGTGATGCTCTTTTTCATGAAAATCATCTTTGTCAGATTTTGTAAACGCAGGAATGTTAACATTTTTGGTCTTTGCTGACAAATATGATCGAGATGTGAGACAGACAGACAGACAGATACATCACATCATATAGTAAAGTGTATTCAGCCTCCAGAGGACCAGAGCTTCGAGGGTCTTTTAAAAGGGATAGGTGTGTAGTGGAAACTGTTAATCACATGGATAATAATAATAATCTTTACTCAGCCATCCATTTCCTAAAACCAGAGTAACAAAGTGCTCTAGGTCAGATCATCAACAGTTGCATATATCTGTGGGTTATGACCAAATCAACAAAAAAGGGGAAAAGTGGGTCATTTTCGGGGGCTCGAAGAGGTTAAATTACCCAAAATACCCCACTGAGAATCTATATGTGCTTAAAATGATTGGATAACACTGAGAGTGATGGGGAGGACGTATCAAAAGGTAAATGGTCAAAGGAGAGGAGGTGGAGAATGTGGATGATAGTGGCATGAGAGGAGAGTGTGGGACAAGTGATAAAGCCAAGCAAAGTCAGAGAGCAAGACAGGGTAGAGAAGAAAGGACAATGGGAGGTCCAAAGAGGAACAGGACCAGAAAATAGGCCGGACTGTCCGCAGGGGAACTGAGGAAAAGGAAGATTCATGGAGGTGGTGAGAGCAGCGAAGCCCAGGCACAGAGAGCAGTCTTTGGTTTAGAGAAGGAAAATATGAGCGAGGAAAGCAAAATACAAATGGCCGCCAGAAACAAAGCTATGAGAAAGTGGGTGGACAAGATGCTGACTGATGGTGCAGAGGGGCCACAAAGATCTGTGGGAAACGGGGAGAAGGCCAAAGACTTTAAAGAAGAAACCACTGATCGACATGTGACGCTAAAGGAGGACTGCTCAAATATCCAAGGTGAGTTTTATATTACATGTTTCTTGTGATTGTTAATAGCTCGTTCACTCATCTGTGTAGTGTTGGAAGTAACTTATCATGCTGGTGTTAAACAGCAGTGTGATTGGATGGCCAGGCTTTGCTTGCTTCCTCACCACTGATTACAGGTTTATTTAACTGATTAAAAGGTCACAGGATGGTACATTCAAGAAAAACAATGAAAGGAATGAGGTACAAGAGCAGGGCGTTTGTAATCCACTCAAGACTGAGTGGAATATGAAAGCTTGTTAACTGAGGTTGTCTCAAGTTCTATATCCACGATGACTGCTCTGAACTTATTATATCATCCAATTAAATGATATAATGATTGTGGGTAGGGTCAATCCTATAAACCGGTTGTTGGGCAAGTTTGGGCTATCTAAAGTTCACTCTCGCTAATGAAAATGTAATTTAGACTGAACTAGTTTTGCATTGCAACATTTCTACTACCTTTTAGCGGAGGAAAAAGGAAATAATACAAACAGTTAAGCACTGAGCAGTTAGCCGATGATCATTTCCAGGATATTTATATTTTAGGGAATTAAATTATTGCACGGGTCAATAAGTTGTGAACTGCTCCACCAGCGATTTTCTAAATGTTCCCTTGAAATAATTTGTAGAGTTCAAAGAGGTCAAATGGGTCATTTCTCAAGAAGAAAAATCATTTGGGGTCATGAAAAATCCAGGAGAAAACCTTTTTAAGTACCATCTTTTCTAATGTTAATCTCATGGCTACCTGGTTTCCCTACACCCAGGCAGGGAAACTTTTTTTTTTATTCATTGAATTTGGGTTAAAAAAAAATGCAGCGATTTCACTTTAGTAGAGCTTAGTTTACTTCCCCAGATGTAGTTCCTACTGTATTTGCTTGCATTTGCTATTGTTAAATCATATTTGCAGTCTCTCATCTGTGTGACAGAACAGCCATTGTTTACTGTACATTATGTGACATCTGCATGAGGGTATCTGAAGTCTGAATTGTCTCCATTTTGCCATTGCTTTTGAATGCCTTGATAGTTGTTCAGAGCATTTTACACAAATAGCAACACAACATGTGGCTGTATATGGTGTTAGTAATTCAAACAATATTAGCTCTTTATATTACACCTGCCTTATAAAGAAAAGCACCTCTTTCACCCAGCCAGATCACTGTTACCACGTGGTAACCATTATTAGTGAACATTAAAATTCCCTCCAAGTTTCCGGCCGGACCGCTTATCTGCGGGGACTTCCTGTCCCACCCACATTTTCGTGTCGCTTCCGGGTGGCCACACAAGACTCATCCAGCGAGCCGACGTTATCTTTTCGCTGTAAACAAAAGTTACTAAACGGTTTACTTTCCACAACACATTGAACAAAAAGACATGCATATCAAAACAGGTAAGTTTGTACTACTTTCTGATATATCTGACCGAAGTTCCCCACTTTCAGATGTGTCATTTCGTAGTCTTGCCGACGGTGTTAGCAACCGCGCTAGCGTTAGCAACAGCAGCCTGCTCGCCGCTTTGAATGGGGGTTACGAAACTTTGAATTCAGCTATCATGCTAGCTAGCTGTCCACATCGTAATGTGGTCAAATAAAGCCATCTTCTAGACGACAGCTGTTGTTTTTGACATTGTTAAACTAGATTGACCGCGTAGGTACATTAAACCGTCGAGTTTAACTCGCCACACTATGACGCTGCTAATTAAAGTTTGCTAACGCCGGCGCTGGCTCATAGCTTGTGCTGTTTTGGTAGCTGCCAGAACAGCATACACGCATCATAGCATGTTGTCATATCAGAAGAGATGCTAATAAAGCAGCCAAGTTAGTCTTTTAGCGAGAGGCTATAGAGTATATAACGATACAGTCAGCTAGTTTCTCGAAAATTCTGTAGATATGTTTGAGACGAGCTCGACCTGGTAAATGACGTTACGTCGTTTGTTTTCTTTTCTTTTTTTTTTCTTTTTTTTAATGTGGCGCTTAGCAGCGGGCACGCTATTCAGGCCAGGTATAACTTACTCATTTCTTAATTATATGGAGTGTCGCACCCCTTCTTTTCTGTAACCCTACAAAGCACTTGTTGGGAGTTTCACCCTTATTGCCACCGATGAAGCATTTGAAGTTGACAAGCCTTTCAAATCTACGAGTAGTAATATCCGAGTCGGTCTGTCGGGTTCCATGTGGACAGAAAACAACACGTTAACCTTCCCGTAAACGCTTATTTACCAATCCTTTTTTCACAATGAGTGTAACGTTAATGTGTGTAACATTGATACAAGACCAGTGACGAGTGTTGAAAGCTGTGATGGGCCACACTTTAGTGATTGCTTTGTAAGACTAAGGAGGTATTGCAATGATTATACATTATAACGTTACTGTCTTATACATGTAAACGACTTTTAGCTTTGCAGCTATTTCCATTAATGACGATACGTCCGATTTTTTTTGATAGCTCATTTGGTCTATACATTTAAGAAAATAGTGAGAAATTCATGGGAGAGTTTGAGGACAACAAACCTAAACGTATTCCATTTACAACAACAAATGAGGGGAAAGAAGTAAATTGTCACATTTCAAAACTGGGACCTTGAGATTATTAGGCATTTTTCTTTTAACGGGATGGTAGATCAAAGTTTTGCTGATCAATTGTTGACTAATTGATTAATCAACTAATTGATTCTGTGTTGAAACAGTCCACTGGACAATTTGGGTTTAGCAATTTGTAATTTTTCTACTCTCTTCGCAAAACACTCTCCCTAAGACTGTTCTGCCTCAGCTCCACTTGCATAATGAAATTTCGTGGAAATGTGTCATCCAACCCTGATGTTTGTTTTTTATGAAACAGCCAAGGGCAAATATCCTTTTAACCAATGCCATGTGTAGAATCTTGAAGGGTGATACTCCTGTTTGGACGCACAGTGTCTGCTAAAGAAACTCAAGAATTTTGTTGAATGCATTTTTATTTTCTTCAATTGAATAAGATTTTTTTTAGTCTTAGTCCAAATGTTTATGTTCCCCAGTAGTGATTATTTCACACAGACATGATAGATCGATTCGAGTATATTCAGGTGGGTTGGGTGATATGTTAAGATTTTCTACTCGGAAAACAAAATAAAACTGATTTTAGATTTGAAAATATTCTGGCTGTTTTCCTTGCTCTCTCTCTCTGCTGTGGCTGGCCTTTGTGCTACTGGGTTAGCTTGCTGAATGAGAGTCTGAGCAGTGGCTCTCAATCGATCTTTGGGAGGAGGCAGACCAGTAAAGCTGCAAACCAAATATAAAAATTGCCCCCAAAAAAACAATGGCGATGTTCTCGGATTGCTGATGTATGAATTCAAAAGCCCACCTCTGCTATTTAAACTGTATGTGACAGCAGATATTTGACTGACATGTCAACACCTCTCTTTCAGGTACATGGGAAGTCAGCAACACTGTATGTGAGTCAGATACCCTGTGCGACCCAGCAGTCCTTGTTTCAGCTACCAACTCAGATCCACACATTCGCAACCGGCGCTTGTCTCCTGGCTCAGGCAACTGTGGTGGAGGCGGGGGTGGAGGCTGCATCTCAGGTGGCGACCAACAGCCCCGACGACTTTCACCCGAAGGCGACCTGATCGGACACACGCACACCTTCAGCTTCCGCAGGGAAAAAGAACGCAAGGGCCAGCAGCACAAAGGCCGCAGCCTCCGCAGGGAAAGTCAAAAGGGGGTCGGCCGGGTTAGCGAGCGGCCTCAAAAGATTGTCCAAAAGGACAGGTGGGTGGAGGACAGTCTGTCACTGCTCAAGCCCCCACCTGCCTTCCCAGTGCAGGACAGCCCCGCCAAGCTGCAGCCTGCCGTCAGCTACGCCTCCAAAGTGAAGGCAGCTAAGGGAACAGCAAGTGGAGCGCTGGAGGAGGACCGCCCCGCCATCGGCGTGCTGCTACAGAACCAGTGGGGCCTCAGCTTCATCAGCGAGGCGAGGCCGGTCACAGAGGGCGCCAGCACTCGCCACATTGCCAACGCCCTCCCTCCTCAGCCCACAGACGCCGAGCAGTCAGACCTACAGCTCGAGACAGTTCTCACAGTCCAGCCTCCTGAAGAAACGCCTATTCCTGTCACTACCTTCGTCACATGCCCAGAGACTGACGAGAGCAACGGGAAGCTGCTGCTTAGTTGCCGCCATCTAGTGGAGGCTTTAAACTACCACAGTAGAGGTGAGAGCTGTGAAAGAAGCGCCCTGCCAGTCTTGTTGTAAATTGTCATTTCAGTGCATTGCCTCTAACGGTGACTTTTTTTTTTTTTCTCTCAGAATGGAACGGGATATGTAACAAACAGAAAAACGTAAGTTGACTCAGAGTAAACCAGTCAGTGGTATCGCACACTTCTCACAAAAAAACATGGCCAAGACAGAAAATTTCCTCTGATCATGTTGTGAAATTGGCTTCAGCTCCTCATAAGCATTGTCATGTCCTGGCAATATTTTGCACTCATCTATTTTGGAAACCACTTGATGGTTGAGTTACATCCTGCATTATGTAGATCAGTCCGTTGGCTAACTTTAGGTTGTTTGCAAAACACGGTGAAACAAAAAACATATCTAATTCTAGAAGAAGTCAAATGCAGCCAACCAGCAGTCCAAGATCATACAGGCACTCAAAGTGTGGCAGTCTAGCAACTCCCTTTTGACATGTAGTTCTCTCTTTCTTGTTTTGCAGTTCCAAAAAAGGTTGTCTGGTACAAGGACACCCAGGAGCACCCAGCCTAGCAGTGTGAGAAAACCCAAAGCATATATAAACCCAGACACAACACACACCTACATGCACATTGAAACACGTAAATGTGGACAAATTTTTGAGTCCTGTTCACACACTTGCTGCACTCAGGATGATGTCTTCACGCAAAGCCACACTGAGACACTTTGGACTAACTCCCTTGAGATCTTACAGCAATGGACTTTTTTAACGCCTTACAGAAAGCCTGCCTTAATTAATCAGACCTGTTTTCATGCCATTTTTAGCTTGTATGTTTAGAGCTGGTCTTTTTTTCTTTTAAACAATCTCTGAGGAGCTGTAATTTAATTTTCCCCCTCAAGCTGCAGTTGTATCAAACTTTGTGTCCTCTGTAAAGCGAGTGGTCAATCAAGCACTTTGTTAAAAAATCCTTTGTGACCAATCCCTGTGTGCAAGAAACCCTCACCAGAGCGAATTTTTTGTTTTTTCCCTCCCCCTTCTCAATTTACAAACAGAATCTCTGTCTTGTACCTGCTTGAGTTTTATTGTTAATGTATGCAGAGGACTTGTGTATCAGTGTCTTCAGTTTACAGAGGGGTGTAGTCAAAGGCACAGTAGAGTTCACCCTTTATCCCTGTCAGATCTTAATGCTGTGTTCCTTTTTGTTGTTTTTATTTGGTTCCCTAATCTGATGAATGCTACTCATGAATCCATAAGGGATCTCACCATGTTCAGTATGTTTTTTTGAAAAGATTTATTGAATTTAAAAAAAAAAATACACTGGAGAAAGGAGGAATGTAAGTGAACAGTATTGCTTAATAAAAATGAATAAACTTGATAAGTTCCATCTTTTATTATTTAAAGTTCAGATTTACCACTGTACAGGCTGAAAGTTCAAAATCACATTTCTGTTCCCCTCAACATAAGTGCATGATAACGGATAAAAAGCAGTTTAACTGAACACAAACTGTAAACTTGTTTATCACTGTCACCAAATTATACAGCCAGATAGTTTTACGGAGAAAAGCTGTATTCAAGCCTTTACATGTAGAAGTACAGACAAATGGATTATGTTAATGAAATGTTGAGACACAAGTTGCTTATTCTGATCTCACCCTCCATGTTTTCCCCTCCACCACTGACAGAAGAAAGTGTGCACTTCACCTGAAACATCTGTGAGCTAAATATCTCCCAATATTTTAAAATCCTATTTCATTGCTACAAGTTGCCTCATAATGCAGCAGGGGGAAAAAACATAATCTGGGTCTCTTAAGCAAAATGCTTAACTTTCCCAGAATTCAAGAGTCTGCAGAGGCCAGGAGTTCTGGTACCACCTGTCATAACAGACCTGCTGCAACAACATCACTCAGGCTCTCCACGTCACCGCCACCTCATCTGTTCTGTACCTACAACAGGAGAAATGTTAATGGTGACTGAGGGCAAGGACGCAATATTACTTTTCCCGACATTCCGGGAGTACTTAGATTCAGGATTCACAATGTTTCTATATACCAAGAGCCCATTGGTGAAGATATTTTCATTTGGTTTCAATAAATACTATATGCTGGATGATGACTGCAAGCATCTTGGATCCAGTTTTGTGGGCCAATACGACAGATCATTAAATCACAAGTGACATTTCCCACAAGGATAAAAATGCAGAGGCTGGATCCAGGCGAATGTAATGAGACCAGAAGAACCAGTAATGGAGGTCTACCTTTGTGTAATCCACGAGTCTTCCAGCTCCGTCACCTGACCTGACCTAAACATCTCCCAGCCGGCTTGAGCAATCATTGCGCCGTTGTCTATGCAGAATCTGTGGCACAAAGTGAACACTGTTATGTGGACTGGAGCTGGAACCTGGGTTGAGCAACTCTGCAGTGAGGGCATGTGAGGGAGAGAAAAGATGCCAGTTTGATGTGGGCATTTTGCTATTGAGGCATCTTGTGTTGCCCCGAGTGTTAACATTTAAAGGACTATTCCAATGTTTTAGCGTGTTCAGTCTTATTTACACGTTACATTACTGCTAACCGTTTTACGAATGCCATTGTTTTCACTGTACTTAAATCTACATTACGATCAATCGCTACCTTAACTTCAAACAATCCAACATTTACCATCGTTCTCTCTTTTCAAGAATGGAGTGTTTCCACCCAGATTTTTACTCACTAGACTGGAAAAGCATGTACAGTGTACCTGCTTGTTATTGTACACCATCACGAGACAGTCACACAGAAATTCTGTTGGATGGTGGAGTGGGTGTTAGATACCTGATACTCTAGTGGGTGTGGAGTTTATATTTCAAACCCCTGACTGTAGAGCTAGTTAAAAAACATGATGAGAGCTGTTAAAGTTTCAGTTCAGGGAACCTCCAACCTCTCGTTCATGTAAATCTGAAGCGGACTCCTTTGTCATTGTAACGTGAATGAAAGCGAGTGCGGACCGGCTGGCTTACCGTTCATCTGTGGCAAACAGCTTGGCTCCTCTCTCCTTACACATCACCCCCATCATCTCCTGCAGACGCAGGTTACCTGCAGAGGAAACAACAGGTCACGTTCTCTACAAGAGTGCAAAATGGGACACATCTTCCGATGAATAAACAAAAGGGAAGGCTTTAACAAGGATTAGTTTGCTTATTTTAAATGTGACCGTATTAACCTGTATATTATTGAAACACTTTACATTCACATTTCATTTTATGAGATGCCTGGTTTTCCATAAAACAATCTTTGTCCCCATTTGGAGAATAACAAACTCTTGGACCTTTTCCCCTTTGCAAAGACAGGAGGAATCTATTGTGCTGTTGCTACTCTGCAAACATGACAGCATCTCGGTTATCAAATCCAGGAATGACAATATTTGTGTTCGTGCAAGAAGGTATTTTCCCCCAGCCATATATATATATATATATCTGTGTATCTATAATGTACAATACAATAGTGTAGTGAAATTGTGTCTCTCTGTTGTACACTTGTCTCTGTTTGACAGAAGAACTTGCAAATTGGCAGCTGTAGAAAGAAAACCTCAAACATATGCTGCTGATATTTTAGGTTACTGTGACATTGTTAACTGTAGCGTTGTAGCTACTGGAACTATCTGAGCACTGCATGTTGAAAATACCCCAACCAACAAGCATCAATTTCATTTTACTTACAGCCGACACCCCCGACGATGAGGACCTCTTGGGAGCCGCAGTGAGCCATGGCCCTCTCAGTGATCTCCACCAGCATGGAGAACACGGTCTCCTGTAGGGAGGAAGGCGTTAGTGCTGGTCGTGGGTAATACTGACAAAATGTACCATCATCATTACGATCTCTTAATATCTCAAAAGCTCAAAACACAACAAGCTTCCCAGACACGCCCAAAATAAAACGGAAAAATACTGATTTTGATTTGTATTGTGCCGATTTGAGTAGCTTTGTGTGTTACACTTTACACAATAAACCTGCAGCAGATACACTTGGGCAATGGCGGTGCCTGATTAAATGGAATTAAGATGAGCTTCAACATCAACATAGGTGGGTTTTTAGTTAGAAAAACGGGAGGCTCACCGTTCAGTTATTAACTCAACTGGGACAGGAACAGAAACGCCTCAAGTTGCCTAAAAATCCTTCGGTTTTTAAGATTTCTTCAGTATCAAATTAAATCAGTGATCGTTGTGAGTACATCCAATGGTACACAGCAAACATGAACTGTTATTAGTTAAATCGGCAAGCTGTACATTAACGAATCATAGACGGATTAAAATGTTCGGGTAATTTTTGTTCAGCCTCTCTACACTGTTTCCACCTGACCTTTATTTTCTTTGCGAGATGGAAGAATTTAGAAAGTTTCGCGGCGCTGCGGAGAGCCCCCAGCTGCAGTAGGCACATGGATTAGGCTATGCATGAAACAGGAGCATCGAACTTCATCCAGCCAGGAGGAACGACCACTATGACACCGGTCATAGAACAACATGCAGCTGCTTTGTTTTTCCGTTTTGGTTTTAAAACAAAATAACCAAAGAACGAACCCCACGCGGATTGATGTGCTTCTGTTGAGTTTGAATGAGGCTTTATCCTAAAACAGCCATGTAGTAAAATATTTTCTTTTTACTGATCTCAGCAGGAATAAAAGCCTTTAAACTTAAAAGTAGCTTTAACAAATCGTTCTATGGAACTTTTTTGTAGGGCAGCACTGTATTAAACAGACTAACTAATAGTGTTAGTTCTGAGTACCTGCAGGGAAAAGCACAGGTCCTCTGCTGAACACTGACCAGAGCTCAGCATCTTATGAGACACTTCCTATGGAAGAGAAAAAGAACTGTTAGGATCATGAATCAAAGGAATGGTGAAGTAGTAGACATATCTAACTGTAGCCTTGAGTATCAGTTTCAGCCTAATTATTAAATAAGATCTAGACCATGTCAAAAGAAAACAGAAGATTAAATCATTATTTAGATGTTGTACTCATTGTAGATATAAAGTTCCACAGACAATCGAGCCACTCACCTCAATGTAGGACAGAATCCCAGAAAATGAGACATCCATTCCTTTTACTGTATATGGCAGCTCCACGTACTGACTCCCTCTAACAGCATGGACAAGGAGCAAAGTTAAGTCAAAACATTAGCAGTGTAAAAACAAACACAGCACACTGCCTAGTGGCTCCCACTCACTTTTTGGCCATCTGCTCTATGTTGTAGCCTGGACTGGGGTCATTGGAAATCTGAGTGGAGAAACAGTTCCACACAAAGTATTATAACACGCATCTATCACATCCAGTAAAAGGCAAATAGTTGCTATAATGAGGGCTATAATAGCACACACCTTTATAACTCTGGCGAATCTGTCCAAACAGTTGCCAACCGCGATGTCAATGGTCTCCCCAAATATTCTGTACCGCTGCTCCGAGTATGCAATAACCTGCGCAGGAAGAAGGACAAGTCTACTTAGGTTTGTACCTAAATAACAAGTGACAGCTCTGCCAACACTGTTTAATTCACAGCTGATCATGACTTGTAGTTTTTCCTCAGGCATGGGGCCTACATACAGAAACCAACCTGTGTGTTCCCTCCACTAACATAAAGCACGGTGGGGTTGTCGGCTTTTGTGATGAGTCGGCCCATCTCAATGTGTCCGATGCAGTGGTTGACACCGAGGAGCGGCTTCCCCCAAAGCTGTGCGACTGTGCGAGCCACCAGAGCCACTGTTACCAAGGGGGCACCCATACCAGGACCTGGAAGAGAAGAAGAAAAACAAGAGAGTGAAAATGATTATTATATTGATTAAAACAAGGTGTGGATCCTAATGTATCTAAACTTGTAGCCCTAATCCTCGTAACAATAAGATGGCAAATTCAAATCTTGTACGACAGACACCCAGGATCTACCTTTGGTGTACGCCACACAGTCGATGTCCGCAGGCTTCAGCCCTGCTTGCTCCAGCGCCTCCTTCAGGACGGTCAGTATGACAGCACGGTGGTGCCTGGCGGTGTCACTCGGCATGAACCCTGATATAAATAACATGTTGTCAACTTCGCATGCAAGACTGTTAAACTTTGACACCACCGGTGAGGTGAAGGTGACACGTGACTTGCCTTGACCAGGTGGGGTTATGTAGGTCCGTCTAGGGTTGGAAAGCACTTCACCATCCCTGATGATTCCTATGCCGATCTTATTGGCACTGCCCTCAAATCCAATTACTACAGTCATGGCAGCTGAAAAACAATTTCAGATAAGAGCAAAGCAGTGTACAGTATCGGTTTTAAAGGGCATTTCCCCTGTAATTAGGCTACTTCATCCTCCTTGGAAGCCCATTTCTGCAAAATTAAAAATCTAATTCATTCAATTTATTCATTCATTCATTCCAGTTTAAACACTTTAAAGAGTGTTTGTTCGATATCAAGTGAAATTATGTTCATTTGTTAGGTTGTTTTTTAGGGTCTTTCTTATAAGACTATGTTAGTGCTTGGTGGAGATTAGTTTTATGATTCATTATCTGCGTTTAATATGCCTGTCTTTACGATTAATCATTGATTGATCATTAATGTGACCAATCAGCGATTAAGGAAAATGTATTAAATATCCCCCAAAGCCTGTCGGTGGCAAAAACAAGCACTTTAGTGGACGTACTTTGCAAGGATTACATTGCAGCCCTTACTCGCTGCTGCTATTTGCAGCACACTCTTAATCCTGAACCAGTTTCAAAAACTGCTGTCCTAATTAATCACACAGACACAAAAACATGTGGAAATAGTGTCCAGGTTGAAAAATACCAAAGTTATCCTTTAAGGAAGATGCCACTTCATTTGAAGTCAGTGGGAGTAACAGTACAGATTGTTGTTTACCAGTTTATGAATTCTACAAACATGTTTTGACTATTCTTTGATTAAATTAAATAACACAACTTTTCAACTTATGTGAAAAGGCCAGACACTAAAACAACAAGTTACTATGATCAAAACTTTGTTTTTAAACTTTGTTATGGCTAGGCTAGTAAACCCAAGTGCAGGACTAAGACAGGCGAGGAGTTAGACAAAAGAGCTCTAGCCATTGCAGGGTTGAAGGGACGTGATATTGAGCCAGAGAGAACGAGGCAGGGTGGAAGTCTTGATGCATGCAGATCTAGGTTGGTAGCTGGTGTGCTGAGCAGGTGGGGAAAGCTTTTATCATACTACCACTATTAAATCTTCTTATTCTACAATAAGGCTAATAGAAATATTTTAATGTGTTCATTATGTTGTTGTTTGTTTGTTGTAGCCTACAGTTTACTGATTAAAATTTAAAAACACAAATGTAAAATTAATACACCCCCTGTCAAACTGCTGTGGTCATCACTCAATTAAAGGTGCTCCCACATTGATAAGGTCTTCTGTATTTAGTTTTCCCTTTGATGTGAACTGAAAAACAGATTCAAATTTGATATATATCTAATACCTATCCAACAAACAAATCTTCGGGTCCAGCCCTAACTAGTAGCAATGTGTTTTATGCCAAACAGCAATGACTGGTTTGCCAGACCTGAGCAAATGTAGCGTAGCATGTTTGCAGTCATGGCATAGCCATGGGTGTGGCAACTACGCAAACCCCCATGCATCTTTTCAAAATATTCAGCAAACACCAGTCTAATCAAGGTAACCTCCCTTAGCCACAAAGCTAGTAGTAAGCTTACATTAAATTGCTGATGCTGGACATGTCTGCTAACTGTCCAGGTGACTCACCTATCCGGGTGTGTTTTCATGGTTTTTCAAGTGTTTTCTGGCATCCAAAATAAAGGATGCCTGGCCGTCCAAGTAACCTCATAATATTAACCTCACTGCTTCATAATGTGTCTGAAAACTCTACTTATGATAAGGAGGAGCTTAGCTCAAAGGCCCGCTTACTAAGAGTCCACCAGTATGCCAAAATGATGACATTGGCCTACTAAGCCAAAATTGTTAGATTACTAAGACAAAAAATTTATGTGCTATGTTACAATTTTTACTTACTATCTTCATTTTCAGCTTTGTGAGTTGTAACTTAATATAAATTATTTAATCATTTTAATCTATTATTGCTTAATTCGTATTTATTTTTTGCTAGACTATTTATATTTTAATCATTATCATATTTTGTCTTTGCAGAAATGGGCTTCCATAGGAGACCAACCTTACGATTTGATTCTCTCTCTCTCTCTCTCTCCATTTATATATATATGCAGACATGTATCGTTAAATTATTGAATGCGACATGTAAGTAGGCTACTTACTAACTATTCCGTAACCCTTCCGATACATCTATAACCTGCATCATGCCACATTATGGAACATCTATAAATACAGTTTATACACTCACCTAAAGGATTATTAGGAACACCTGTTCATTTCTCATTAATGCAATTATCTAATCAACCAATCACATGGCAGTTGCTTCAATACATTTAGGGGTGTGGTCCTGGTCAAGACAATCTCCTGAACTCCAAACTGAATGTCAGAATGGGAAAGAAAGGTGATTTAAGCTATTTTGAGCGTGGCATGGTTGTTGGTGCCAGACGGGCCGGTCTGAGTATTTCACAATCTGCTCAGTTACTGGGATTTTCACGCGCAACCATTTCTAGGGTTTACAAAGAATGATGTGAAAAGGGAAAAACATCCAGTATGCTGCAGTCCTGTGGGCGAAAATGCCTTGTTGATGCTAGAGGTCAGAGGAGAATGGGCCGACTGATTCAAGCTGATAGAAGAGCAACTTTGACTGAAATAACCACTCGTTACAACCGAGGTATGCAGCAAAGCATTTGTGAAGCCACAACACGCACAACCTTGAGGCGGATGGGCTACAACAGCAGAAGACCCCACCGGGTACCACTCATCTCCACTACAAATAGGAAAAAGAGGCTACAATTTGCAAGAGCTCACCAAAATTGGACAGTTGAAGACTGGAAAAATGTTGCCTGGTCTGATGAGTCTCGATTTCTGTTGAGTCAGAATTTGGCGTAAACAGAATGAGAACATGGATCCATCATGCCTTGTTACCACTGTGCAGGCTGCTGGTGGTGGTGTAATGGTGTGGGGGATGTTTTCTTGGCACACTTTAGGCCCCTTAGTGCCAATTGGGCATCGTTTAAATGCCACGGCCTACCTGAGCATTGTTTCTGACCATGTCCATCCCTTTATGCCACCATGTACCCATCCTCTGATGGCTACTTCCAGCAGGATAATGCACCATGTCACAAAGCTCCAATCATTTCAAATTGGTTTTTGAACATGACAATGAGTTCACTGTACTAAAATGGCCCCCACAGTCACCAGATCTCAACCCAATAGAGCATCTTTGGGATGTGGTGGAACGGGAGCTTCGTGCCCTGGATGTGCATCCCACAAATCTCCATCAACTGCAAGATGCTATCCATCAATATGGGCCAACATTTCTAAAGAATGCTTTCAGCACCTTGTTGAATCAATGCCACGTAGAATGAAGGCAGTTCTGAAGGCGAAAGGGGGTCAAACACAGTATTAGTATGGTGTTCCTAATAATCCTTTAGGTGGGTGTAGGTTAAGCATACTGTAGCTGTGTACGTTAGCTGTTATGCTATCAGTGACAGCATACTATACTATCTTCGTAAAATTAGCTTATATTAAAGCTGCATTGATTAATAAAATAGGTATACCTAGCTTTTCACTTTCTTTCAGTTGTCCGCATTACTCCAAATTCGTGACAGTTAAATCTTTAAACAAATAATTTTACTGCCTCGGCTAACTTTTTCAGCTCTAGCGCTCTATTAAACTACGCTCGGGGTCCCAAACATTGACAGCTGTAGAATTAGCCTCACCAAAAAGCATTGTCTACTTTTATGTTTTACTTCGGCAGCATGTCAGGCTAATTTAATACACGTTATACCAACCAGTGTTGCGTATTTTTATAAATGTTTCAAAATAAGAAATACAAAATTTGAAATGTTTGGTTTTCAAATTGTTATCAGGCATACGTTTAGGCAGTCTCTAAGTACAGCAAGCACGTGGTCAGAAATCTTTGGCGTGCTTTGTGTGTGTTTGGGGGGAGTAAGCAGCACGGACTCGACTCTTCATCCTGTTGTGAAAGTGCAAGTAAGGTTATTTGCATCTCCTTTTCCTGAAACGTGTAGCTGGTTGAAATAGCGCTACCGTTATTAAAATTTGCATGTGGCGATTAACCAAATACGCGATGTGGTACGAAGCTAATTAGTAGCTTTGTAGTTATTCTTCATTCATTACAGTGCAGGCCGTCTGCTGCTGGCCGTGGGCTTTTGAGGAAACGCGAGTGCTAGCATAGCATGCCATTAAACCGTGAAAACGGAAATATAATGTTAGCTTCTGCTGTTGGCTGTTTGTATTCTACGTGCATGCAGTTAATTTTGCATCCAGTGGGTCATAAATACGTTTTGCATGGACTAACGTTATGCTGTCTAACAATAACGTTACCCTCCGCATAAACGACTTCATCACAATAAACGCTCAGCGTGCTTCTTTGTCAGATCATTGATTTAAGTTTTGAAAAACTCTTTACCGTTTGTGAAGTTGACAAGCAACACTTGAAAAACAAAGGCATACGTGTATAACTGACATTTTGTAGCATACACATGTAACATCACTCAGAAATAACCTAATATTTCTCCTAGGAGGCAAGTTTGGCCAATAACCGATATAACCGATAGGTCGGTGCTGGTGCTGATATGCATGAATGCAAGTACACACTTGAGTTTTCAGCCTTGTCTATTTTAAGATACTAAAGTTAGTGTACGTGAAAATAATGGGGCACACAATTGTAAAAAAATTTTTACAAAATCAACAATTCCACAATAAGCCAAATATTAGCTGTAAAAACTAAAACACACCGATATATTCGCCGATATTGGCTAATTTTAGAAATGCCCATCTGTATATCAATATGTTGGCCAAAAAACAAGAACTTGTAGTACAGAAATGCCAAATATGTCTAAGGTAATTTGTACAGTGTCATTACATAGTTGGGCCATCTGAGAGTACCAACAGTTGCAAAATATTCTGCTCTGTACATATCTTACAACATGTGTATGTTTGCTTGTGTTACTGTGTGTGTCTGAAATCTTGGGAGGATTATCTTGGATTCTTATTAAATGCATTTGTTTTTCAAGTGACTGCATAGAGATGTGTTGACCGAGAACCCAAAACTTGTTGAATTGAAATTAATAACTTGTAGTTTTCTCAAACAATTTAGTATATAAAATGCCAGAAAATAGGAAAAACTAAAGCTTGCCCATGGCGAAGGCTTCAAATTGCATTTTTTGTTTATCAACAGTATAAACCCAAAATAAATTCTATTTACAATGAAATAAAACGGGAAAAGCAACAAATCCTCACTTGAGGAGCTGGAAACAGCAAATGTTGGCCATTTCCCTAGACAAGTGACTTAAAGAGAGATTTTTTATTTAATTTTTTAGAAATTGGTGAATCGACCATAAGCTAAGAACCTTAATGAAAGTCTTGCATATTGTTGTAGCATTTGACACTTAACAGTTCCACCTAAAGTCCTCTTTTGTTTTTGCAGCGGCTCGTGTGCTGTTGTGTGTGCGTGTTGTGTGTCTGCGAGGTGTGTTTGCAGTCAGAGCGAGTTCAAGTATGAAGAGAGGCAAGAAGGCAGAAGAGGCAGCTGCAGATGGAGAAAATGACTCCGGCTCTGGTACTGCAGTATGCACTAATAAACATTTAAATGCATAGTATTCTCTGTGTGGTAAACAACTTAGACATTTTCCTAACTAAAACACCTTTTACCTGATAGCTTCTGCAAAGAAAACAAAGAAGGCTAAGGAACCAGAGGCCCCAATATTGTATGATGATCCTCCTGACAAAATGACCAGCAAAGATGGCAGAGAAGCCAACACGAAGATCACCTCCTGGAACGTGGACGGGCTTAGGGCCTGGGTGAAAAAGAAGGGCCTGGATGTGAGTTTTCAGTTGATTATGATTACTAATTATTTGCCAAAGTAAGTTCTGAGACTGGTTTTAATGGTTAACCCTTGTGTTCGTCATTGTAGTGGGTGCGTGAGGAGGCTCCAGATGTTTTGTGCCTGCAGGAAACGAAGTGTTCAGAGAAAAACCTCCCTGCTGACATCACCTCAATGCCCGAGTACCCTCACAAGTACTGGGCCGTCTCGGATGACAAGGAGGGTTACAGTGGCGTTGCCATGCTCTGCAAGACTGAACCCCTCAAAGTCACATATGGCATTGGTGAGTGGTTTCTCCATATGCTGTTGAGTCGTCATCATCCGGCACATAAACCCTATGAAGTAGCGCATTTGCTTATTGTCGTTTTAGTACAGATGACATCCAACATGCCCAACTAGCTGGCGCTAGTAGGCAGGCTAGCTGTTACCCTGTTTCCAGTCTTAGTGCTAAGCTAAGTTCACCTTGACTCTAAGCAAGTAAATGTCAAACTGTCAGATATTGTTAAACATTGCAAGTAACATTGTTAAGCTGCAGTGACTTGGCTTTGCTGACTATCACTATTTCCCCAGTGAACACAAGAAATTATCAAACTGAACAAGTTTTGAATTCTGGCAAAGTAATTGCATATAATTGTTAACTAAACCTCATCCACCAATCCTCCAGGCAAAGAAGAACATGACAATGAGGGCCGCGTCATCACTGCTGAATTCCCCAACTTCTTCCTGGTGACTGCCTACGTGCCAAACTCCGGTAGAGGCCTTGTGCGCCTAGATTACCGCAAAACCTGGGACGTGGACTTCCGTGCGTACCTGAGCGAGCTTGATATACAGAAGCCCCTGGTGCTGTGCGGTGACCTTAATGTCGCGCACCAGGAGATAGACCTGAAGAACCCCAAGGGGAACAAGAAAAACGCAGGCTTCACCCCCGAGGAGCGCGAGGGCTTCAGCCAGCTGCTGGAGGCCGGTTTCACAGACAGCTTCCGCGAGCTCTACCCCGATCAGACCAACGCCTACACCTTCTGGACCTACATGATGAACGCCCGCGCAAAGAACGTGGGCTGGAGGCTCGATTACTTTGTGCTGTCGTCCAGTCTGCTGCCAGGTCTGTGCGACAGCAAGATCCGCAACAAGGTGATGGGAAGCGACCACTGCCCCATCACCCTGCACATAGCCGTGTAGATCAGTCTGGTCAGCAGGGCTATTGCTTTGCCTTCACTGTCTTCTTAGTACTTCCGTTCCAACTTTGCTGAAACTATCATGTACGCCAGTGTGCGCTGTTAGTGAGGCATTGCCTATTTAGGCAGGCAAGTCTTAAATAGGTTGACCTTTCTCGTGGGTGATGTGCTGCCCAAACTTACTCTCAGTAAGTTCAGCAGTAGCTTAGTTGTCTAGTACTTAAATCTTTACGTTTTAACATGAACTGTTATGACTCAACACTTTTCATAATGCCCGTTTGTCCTTTTCATGTAATTGAAGTTTGTCAGTAAACCCAGTGATGTACACCAAAATTCCTCTCAGCCATTCTATAAAGGCGCAACACTAAATACTCATGTCTAAGCTGATCTTCAACGGTGACCTGCGACTGGCTGTAGACCTGTTGTTAGTGTGGCTCCTGTCTGTACTACTGCTGACCTATGCCTCATTGCCACAGAACCTGCAGTATGTTTTTGTGTAACTGTTTGAAATTAAACCATTGTTTAAAGAAAATGTAACTTGTTCTAGCACAAATGTTTTAACGCCTCTTTTCAAAACCAATGTCACATTCTGTTGTAAAACATGCCCAAAATAAAGACTGGATTTATGTAAATCCTTTTTCTAGTCATTATTTGACAAATGAGCAAAGATGATTAGACAAAGTTGCTATGCAGAGGAAAAACGCACTGCTCGGCTCAGTGTGCTTTAATCAGATCACAACCTGGAAATCGAATGCATTCAGTATAATGGGACAGTAAACATGAACCTCTTCAGGCTAGAACACGTTTTAAACTAGATGCACTTGACTACAATTGCATAGAAATGTCAGTCCATCTACAGAAGCTTTTGTCCCAGTCTAAACTAATCTGTAAACTCAATATTAGCAAAATATTAATCTCCAGATCCATAAATTCAAGTCTTAACAGACTATGTTAACTTCATGATGTGGGTTCGTTGATGCATTTTGAGATTATATGACTGTCTGAATCCCTTCCCACATTCGACACACAAGTATGGTTTTTCCCCAGAATGTGTTCGCTGGTGTCTCTTCAGGCGGTTGGCACTGAGGAAGCTCTTGTCGCAGTCGGGGCAGGAGTACGGCCGGACTCCGGTGTGGTAGCGCAGGTGGATGGTCAGGTAGCAGGACTGAGTGAATTTCTTGCCGCACTGGGGGCACTGGAAGGGTTTGTGGCCCGTGTGGAAACGCTCGTGCTTCAGAAGCTCGGCGTGGGAAAAGAAGCCCTTCCCGCAGTCGGAGCAGAGGTACGGCCTCTCGCCTGAATGAGTCAGCTCGTGTCTGATCAAAGTGGCCTTATAGACAAAACTCTTGTCGCACTGCGAGCAGCTGAACACGTTTTCCCTGGTGTGGCAGCGCTCGTGTTTCTTCATGTTGCGTTCCCTCTTGAAGCTCTTACCACAGAAGGAGCACATGAAGGGCATTTCCTCGGAGTGGATCTTCATGTGGCTCAGCAAACCCCCCTTGTAGAGGAATCCCTTGCCGCACTGTGTGCATATGTGCGGCCGCTCCTTTTGATGGATGCGCTGATGTGCAGTGAGAGCTGCCCGGTAGGCGAAGCTCTTTCCACAGTTGCAGGTGTGCACTCTTTCTTCTTGGTGAGTCTGGAGGTGCCTGTGGAGGTAGCTGGCACAGCTGAAGCCCAGGTCACAGCGAGGGCATTTGTAAGAACGCTCCACCTTGTCAGCATCCTCACTGTGGGTCTTCAGGTGTCTCACCAGCGCCGACTTCCAGGCAAACGCCCGGCCACACTCTGAACACAGGTACTCGCCGTTCTCCATGTGGGTGCTCTTGTGCTCCCTCTGAGCCACCAGGGACTTGAAGAACTCCCCGCAGATCAGGCACTCGTACTTGCGCCCGGACTTGTGCGTCTGCTTGTGCCTCTCCAGTGACTGTTTGAAGGAGAACCGCCGTCCGCACTGAGAACACAGGAAGGGCTGCTCGCCTGTGTGGATGCGCTGGTGGGCTGTTAGTAAGGACAGGAACTTGAATGTCTTCTCACAGTCGGGACAACTAAAACGTCCCTCTTCATCTGTGAGGGGCTGAAGGGACAGCTTAGCATCCTCAGTCTTAACAGAGTGAACCTTGTCAATGTGCTGCTGGACCTGTGCTTCTTCTGGGTGGTGGAAGGAACACTTAGGACAGGAGAAAGCAGCTGACGAGCCATCTGCTCCAGAACCTTATGGGAAAACGGAGTCATTATTTGCCATTTAAGGATTTTCAGTAACCAAGCACATTACAGATCAGCCTGTGATTTGTCCATAACTAATATTAAAGTAAATAACATTTACTTGAGTTTAAAAACTGCCTTACCCTGCCTCAACTGTTGCCTTCAAGTATTTACACTTATATTACAGTAAACATTTTTTTTTTTTAACATAATTAAGTGGGCATTCTGACAGCCACAAGAAATGCCAAATATAAATTTCCCAGAGCTCGAGGCAAGACATTTGAATTGCTGGTTTTGTCCAACAAACAGTCCAAAATATAAATATTTACAATTTATTCAAATATATGACAAAGAAATGCTGCTCCTCAAATTTGAGAAACAGGAACAAAAGAATGTGATGTTAGAAATTAGTAAGTTATCAAAATAGTTGCTAACTTATGTTTTATTCAGCTTTAACTGAAAAAAGTCTAATATTTCTAAATTATAGCTAGAGGAATTAATTTCAATTGAATTGTTTGCAGTGTAATTATTAGTTAAATTCTGGCCTGTGAGTCACAGATTTTCAGCATTTTTAAAAAAAATGTAATTTCACATTCTCTTATCTCTCTGGTTGTGTAATTGTGGTGAGAAACAGCAAAAAATTCCAAAAGTGAAAACTCACTCTCATTGATGTCCTTTGATGAGACCGTGGAGGATCCATAAGAGTGCTCTGCACTGCTGACGAGAAAGGAAAGATAAACATGAGGCTTTTGATCTGCCTGATGTCCCACCACAGCCATCATATATTCAACTGAACATAATACAGTACTTTATATTTCTATATACTAAACCTGTAATAAAACCAGAATCAGAAACACTGAAATGAAGAAACACCTTCGTGACAACAACAGATCAAAAGTGGTTAAAGTGGACGGATGGTTTTACCAATTATAAGGAAAAGGCTTCAGCTCTGGAGGGTTCGTCTCCGTGACCTCCTTCCTTCTTTTAGTGGTCATGCGCTTCTGTAAATTTATCACCTGGATCTTCATGGTGGGTTTGCGTTTGCGTCCACTGGTGCGGACCTTCACCAGGGAAATGTCTTCATTGTGAAGTTCAGGGGCTTCAGGCTCAGAGGTAGGACGCCCGCTGCTCGGAACCTCTGCATTCTCTGGATCGTGGCCACCACTGTCATTTGCCTGCACCTGGCTGTCGGGTTCAGCAAGGGCAACAGGGGCCTCGCTGACGTTTTCATCACCTATGACAACCTCTTGCCAATCCTTGTGGCTGTCTGTGGGATTGTTTGTGTGAGTTTTCACGTGTCTTGCAAGCGCCTGCTCCCAGTTAAATTTCTTGTTGCACTGATGACACACGTAAACACCGTCTTCCACGTGCGTTTGCTTGTGCTCTGTGCGGGCTGACAAGGAGTGGAAGGTCTCCCCGCAGATTACGCAGTCGTACTTGCGGCCAGTTTTGTGCGTGTGTCTGTGCCTGTCGAGGGACTGCCTGAAAGAGAAGCAGCGACCACAGTCATTGCACCGGTGGGGGCGTTCGCCAGTGTGGATGACCCTGTGGGCGATTAGCGAAGAGGCAAACTTAAATTTCTTCTCGCAGTCTGGGCAGTCATGAGGTCCCACAGACATCTTTTGTCCGGTGGACGCCAAGTCGTCTTTGTTAACTTCTGGAAGGTCGATGTTTGGCAAACAACTTGCAGCTTCTTCTCGGGTTGCTTCTTCCCCTGCTCCACCTACTTCTTCTTCCGTGGTTGTCTCATCAGGAAGCACTACCAGCGAGTCCTCAGCCACTGCGTCTGTCCCCTCAAAGCAAATCTCTCCCGTCACCACCTCGATGTCGGTGCTTGCACCCAATTCTACCTCTGCGTAATCTGTCACTGTGATTATTTCAACTGCTACGTCATCTACGAATGATACAGTGTGTGTTTCGTCACTGAGGCCTTGCATTGGATCTGATTGGTCGGGGTGTTCTGTAGATTTTGCCACTCTGCTAGGGGGAACAGCAGAAAGTGAGGAGAGGATGCTGTCGCCCATACTAGAAGGTGGAACTGTACACAAAAAAAAAGGGACAAGAATGATGCATAAGTTATGGTCATAGTGTCTCCAACGATGAAAGTGAAATAATACAGATGTGGTTTTGGGAAGTGACTCACCATGTTGCTCTAAATGCCCGAGCTGTTTGTGGTGCTGGAGCAAATATTTCAGGTCTGAAGGCTCAGAGACTGAATGCACACAATCCTCTAAAACAGAGCATTCGGCCCCAAGCCAGGAAACAGTCTGTGAAATGTTGGAAAAGACGCACCATGTCAAATCCAATATAATCAAAAGATTTCAACTTCAGAAATAGGTTACCAAGACATCAGATTTGCGATTAAGCACATGTAAGACATATACAGTACATTGAATTATAGCATAGGCAAAACATTGTTATTACCAGTAAGGAATGTAGCACTGCACCTCATTTAGACAGCATTCACAATTCAATTCAGTTCCTAATGGTTAAACGATGTATCATATAGCAACTGCTGCTTATTGCTATAGTTTCTATAGTATATTATCTAACCTTTAGTAAACCTCATCACTGTGAAACTAAACTACATCATTATCATTGCAAATACAAACCTGACATAGTTCAGCAACAATTAGTCGATTAACAGAAATCTAACCAGCAACTATTTTGAAGTTACATAATGTGAGTTATGTCACGTAATGTACTTATTTCCACGCAAACAATGATCTTCTCCTAAACCTAACCAAGTAGTTTTGGTGCCTAAACTTAACCAAATTGCGACCACTTCACAATGTTACCCACATCTTTAAAAAGGCGTTTCATACGGATGCAGAAGGGTACCTTGTGTGTCAAACGCTGTGTGTACAGATGCTTATTTGACGCCGTGGGATGAGAACGTATAGAATAAGAAATGGAATATTTGGGGTTTTGGGCTATTGGTCAGACAATAAAACAATAATTATTGCAATATATTTTTTTATTATAACAAAAAAATGTTCAATAAATATTCATATATTCATTCAATGTTTGATTTCATTCACTTGAATCATACACAAATTAGGACTTAATTTTTTTTATTAAGATGTTCATTTGCTGAGGAAAGAGGACTGAAAAAAAGTTGTTTTACTCGTGCATATTTGTTGAAAAAGATTTTTATCATAGTTGTGTTAGTAACTATACATAGTAATGTTCTGCCTCAGAGTTGTTCAAGTGTTGAACATTAAGAAGAGATTAACCGCAATTAACCATCAGGTTCCTTCAACTATCACTCAGGAGCAAAAATCAGGCTTTAAACTCAAAAGAAATAAGGATGAGTTTTTATTGTGTTAACATTTTCGGCCATATCGTCCAACCCTGTCCGACAAACAAAGACAAAAATGAGGTCCTCGCATATTGTGCTGGACATTTGTCACAGTTTTCTGATGTTTTATAGACCAATCCACTAATCCATTAATTGAGAAAACAGTCAGCAGATTAATCTATAACAAAAATAAGATTAGTAAGTAAGTCATTAGTGACATCTTGTCCTGACCTATGCAAATTTAGTGCCTACTTAGAGCCTTCAGTTTCTAAACAAAACACTGGAGCCAGATTTCTCGTAAGACCCACAATGAAGGTGCGTGTCCAAACATTTTCCACTGTCATATACCGATTCTTACTGATATATACCACTGTGGATTGTGATATGCTGATGCTGTGTGCAGCTTATAAATGGCTTATCACTCCCTGCTATTTCCCTAGTAATTGCCAGTGGTGTGCCACTCTTGCTTTCGTGTTACATGCCACTTTGAACAGAGCTATGCGTTTGACCATCACATGGCACCAAAAACACAAGAACGGCAGCCTCTTTTCAAATTGTCACTGTTGTAATGCAAAGTTAATTTCTTCCCGTTATTGAAATTCAGATGTATTAACTTTGTAGTATAGAAACAGTGTGGTGGTTTAAGTTATTCTTTGTTGGTGACATACTGTTACTGTTTTATCAAAATGATACTTCTTACCTGCTCAAGGTCAGGAACTGGCAACAGCTGAGCCAGCCGAAAGAAGAACTCAGAAAACAGCGTCTGCAAATCACTGTCATACTGAGGTCCATACTCAGCAGGGAAGACCTCCTTTGAAAGACAAAAAGATTGAGATTAAAACTATGTTACTGTTTAACAAATACAACACTCTACTAAAATGGCTAAATATGATGTTGCTTCTTTTTTTTTTTCCTGCAACTAACAGAGCCCAGCTTCACACAAATTATAGCCCATAATGGAAAGTAATATTTACAGAGTTGGATTTGGCTCCACAGAAGTGTAAGTGAGACTGTCTCACCAAAAAAAAGTCTTGTCTCACTTCAGGATCTTTGAGCAGAGTCTGGATCAACTCAAGAAAGTTCACCGCTATTTCATCTTCTGATTCTTTCATCTGCAATATGGGCATCAAAATAACACAAATTACAAATTCTGTGTTGGATAACTACCAAAGTGGTGTTTATAAGATTGTTGCCCAGCCAATAACAGCATGTGTTTACAATTCATATTGATCAAAGAGGAAGAGATGCTACAAAAATGTAATTGTAATCAATGTGTTGATTGAAATCAACTGATCTACACTGTACACACTTACATCTACCAGGGTGGGGTGTCGCGGTTTAATGTTTTCCAGATGAGACAAGATGAAGTCTGGTTCCACAGGCTGTTCACTTCGGCACAACTCAAGAATGTACTGATGAGGAGATGAAAACAAACTTTTCACTTTACAGTTAAAACAAAAAACTAAAATAAATGTTACATTAGTTGTTAACGCCTTGTGTCCTCCACTTGTACCAACCCTGGCTCTTAATCCCAGGTTAAGGTGTGTCCTGTGCTTGTACATTAGCAGCTCAGGGACCATGTCCATCACCAAAGAGACAAACTCTGCCACTTTCCAGTAGTTCATGATGTCTTGTTTCTTCAGAACCTGCCACATGGAGGCTGCCATAAGCTGGAGAGGTGGGACCAGGAGGCGCAGCGATGCCAAAGGTAAGGGGTCCCCTGAAAAAGAGAAAAGCGTTGAAGGTAAATGTACAGTAAATGAACTATCTGTCATGTATCCTAATTCAACTAGTCGATATGTCTACGTAGGGCAAAATCACACACTTGTTCGCAGTGCTTCTGTTTTTTAGATTTAGGAACAGTTTTGTGTTTTGAATGCAACCTTTCTGAAAACACTGAGTGCATGTTCAATAACAACAACGTTGCTCAAACCCAGTTAGCTATACCTCTGCTAATGTTTGTATAGTCTGTGACGTTACATATACCACTTATATTCATATGACAACATGCATGCAAATTGATTTGCGATGCATAATAAAACGCGTCAACTTAACGTTACTATCCTACGGCAAGTCAATGGGCTATCTTACAAAGCTAAGTTAACTTAGCTAATTAGAGTAGAAGTAACGTTACTGATAAAGTAAACGCTAGCTGAACTATCGCAAACTACAAGTTTTCCTAAGTAAATTTGCTTTTAATCGCCCTTCTTATACCAGCAAAACAAACCTTTGGAAACGGCCGTGAAGACACCTGGGTCCATCTTTTCACACCGGTGCTGAAAATTATGAGTCGCTGTGATTAGCTGCAGTTAGCCAGCTAGCTAGCTAGCTAACGTTACCCACCCAGCCACGCCTGGCTAGTTACAGAGTGACAAAGATGGTACTGATGAAAAACTACAATAATTCTCTAAATAACAAGTAACAGTTACTCTAATTAACTGTAAAAAAATAAAAATAAAGCAAGCAGTTACATGATGCACTTAATTAGTTGCCAGAGGCTTCTTCTTCGCTATTTATATTTGACGGCAGGTGACATTTTTCTTGTTGCTACCGCCGCCTGCTGGATAAGATTTGCCCTGTGCTCCCCAAACTGACAATGGAATAAAAACTACAAATTTCAGGTGTCTTCCTCTGTGTTTTTGTCTCTCTTCGGTGGTTTCGTAGTTTTGGGGGGTTTTTTGGATTTGTGACAGTTTTCTCACCGTTTCCCCCGTTTTTTATAAATTATTTACATTTCTATTCACGGTCTAAATGTGTTCATGTTACATTTTGGCCAGTTCCATGCCCCTGAACACTGTGTTGCGTTTAACAACGTGCCGTACAACAAGTAAATAACGTTAGTCCTTATTATGAGCGGCTTAGTCGTGTCGCACTTCAGTCTTCATGGAGCCCTCTCAGTGCGTGCCTCTGGAGCGCTTACCTTTCAACAACACGGTGTTGAAAAAGCTTCCTGTGGATGATTCAGAGGAGACCGGGTCTCGGACGGTCCCAGCGGCATGTTTCTCCCGAATTCGGGCTCTTCAGCCTCTGGTACGTCCGACCTTTGTGGCCCTATCTCAGTCAGCGCTGACTCTGCTCGACCTGAATGTGCAGGACGTGTTGACGAACCCCCTGGGCCCGGAGTATTTGAGCGGTTCCAGGCTGCTACCGGGCTCCGAGCCGGCTGCGCACTGTTACAGCGGGCACCAGTTCGGTCTGTTCGCGGGACAACTGGGAGATGGAGCGGTGATGTACCTGGGAGAGATAGAGGGCACCCACGGGCGATGGGAGATTCAGGTGAAAGGTGCAGGAGTCACACCCTACTCCAGGTAAAATAAGATTTACTGTGTGTGTGCTGACAGTTCAGCGTTCATACATCTCATTTTGAACATAACACATTTGGAGCAGTATAACCATGCTCCACATCAAGAGCAGGTTCTAGGGCTTGGATAAAATCATGTTGGATTAAGTTTTCTCTGAGAATAAGACAATTTCAGCAGGTGACACAGCCAATCGTTCATCAGCCTTGCTCACTAGAGGCACGTGAATGCATTAACCCCAGGAGAGCTACTTAACAGCTTAATGCTTGGCACACATCAAACCCATCCCCCATTGCTTAATAATTGTGTGCTCAGTAGAACCAGTACAAGTCTATGATTTGGTCTGTTAAACACAGAGTAAAGAGTATATTTGAGTTTTTCATATTCTTGACTTAAGTATTATATCTCAGCAATCTCATTTTATTTCATAATGCAATCACAATATCTTATTTCAACTCTACAGCTAGCTGCTATTGGTGGATTTGCCAGTGCTTTTGCAACTTCCTGAAAGTTGTTGTAAATGTGGGCCACAGTGAAGGCAAAGCTGGCTGACATATTGCATTGCAAACATTTGGGATTATACTTTTAATTTACTCAATACTATTGTACAGAAGTTTTTAGTTTGCCTAGGGCTTGTTGACCCATCAAATGTATACACACGATCCATTACCAGCATTACTCGTTCATCAGACAACATAATGGCATCTAACATAGTTAAAACTAATTACATTTTTCTTTTCATTGTCCATAAACACTGTTAAACTCTGTTGACACATTACATGACAGGCCTCCTGTTTCCTGGTCCAACCATTTTTGTAATTTAGGATTTTTTGCCAAGAGAGTTTGCAAGTTATACTACTGCAAATGTGATACAATTCTGTTGATATGTAGTGGAATAATTCAATTAATTTCCCTATCTGACTCAAAACATTGCATTTTTTATTTTGTAACAGAAGCCAATATTCACAACATTCAACATATTCCCAGTATATAACTCAGTGGTTAATCAGAGTTAAATCTCAAACAAATCTGTGTGATGGACACATTACAATTTTCTCAGAGAGGGTGACGGAAGGAAGGTGCTTCGCTCCAGTATCAGAGAGTTCCTGTGCAGCGAGGCCATGGCCGCCCTGGGGATACCCAGCACCCGTGCAGCCTCCCTCGTGACCTCCGACCTCTATGTCACCAGAGATCCACTCAACAGTGGCAGGCGCATTCCTGAGCGCTGCTCAGTCGTCCTGCGTCTTGCCCCGTCCTTCCTCAGGTAGGAAACATTTCAAGCGTTTTTTTTTTTAAAGTTTAATCAGCACAACACACAATAGTGCTACCTCTGGACAAATCTGCGCATGTTATTATGTATCTCTTACCTTTGTTTTAGATTTGGATCTTTTGAGATCTTTCTGGGCCGAGATGATTTCTCAGGCCTGCAGGGACCCAGCGCAGGGCGCCATGACATTCGCGCTCAGCTGCTGGATTATGTCATTGAGACTTTTTATCCTTGCATCCAGCAGACTCATTGCAACCGAAAAGACAGGAATATGGCTTTTTTTAGAGAGGTGAGCATTGATGGTGAGCATCTGGACAGAATTTGATATTCAGTGCTAATAATGGCAAACACTGTTTAGGACTTTGTCTCCCTTAAGGTTGGCTCATTTCATGATGCTGTTTTAGCATTTCTGCCATCAAATTTGACTTGTTTATTCCCAGGTGATGATGCGAACTGCTAAGCTAGTCGCTCAGTGGCAGTGTGTTGGTTTTTGCCATGGTGTCCTTAACACAGACAACATGAGCATCCTGGGTCTTACTCTGGATTATGGCCCCTTTGGTTTCATGGACAGGTAGGCGGCTGAAAATGAAAATCTGCGTCGTCTGCACTTTATTTGACCAGTGTTTTCTGTGCTTTCACATATCCCAGTTAGATTACTCACTATCTGAAAATGGTTTCGCTCCACTAAAATGAAAAAAAAAAAAAAATTATTTTCAGCTCTGTCTCAGTAAAATTATTCAAAAGTAAGATTACAGTCTGTTTTGGCATGCAGGAACTAGAAAGAAGATGAGAATTTATAGATAACAAGATTTTGTGCCATCATGTATAATATTCTATATGAAAAGCCCTCCACCTCTGTGTCAGATTTGATCCAGATTTCGTTTGCAACACATCGGACAAAAGAGGACGCTACTCTTACCAAGCCCAGCCATCTGTGTGCCGCTGGAACCTGGCTCGCCTAGCAGAGGCGTTGGGCTCTGAGCTGGTTGGAGCTGAGGCAGGCGCTGTCCTGGATGAATTCATGCCCACATACGAAGCCTTCTACCTGTGCATCATGAGGAAAAAGCTTGGACTTGTGAAAAAAGAAGAGGCAGAGGACAGCGAGCTCATATCAGACCTGCTGCGCCTCATGCACAACACTGGTACAAAAACAGATCAGAAAGATGGGTTTTGTGTTGAAAATGAGGCAGAGCCATCAACATATACATAGTTGTGATTTTGCCGTCTTGTCACAGTACTATAACATAATGTCTTTCCAGGTGCAGATTTCACGAACACCTTCCGCCTGCTCAGCCATGTCCCCTGGCCTGACGAGGGCGACAGTGAGAGGCCCACAGTGGGGCCAGTAGTGGACCTCATCCTAGAGCAGTGTGCCTCTATTGAGGAGCTAAAGGTGGCTAATAAGCCAACTATGGAGGACCGGTGAGGGGGTGTATGGTGGTTGAATACACATGTATTATTTCAAAGAAGATGAAACAAAAACATAAAGACTGTAGCTGCCCCACCATACACTCCCAGTGAATGTGCATCTGATCCTAGCTGAGCAGAGTACTGGTTCCAAATGACTAAAACTCTCTTATCATCTAACTTGTTTTTCCTTTTACTGTATCTGCTAGCATTTTGGGGAAAAAGCTTTCCAAGACAATGTGTAAGTTAAATGTGGGTTTTGTAGCATTTTGTAGGAGTTACGCTGAGATAGTTGCAGGCGTACATAGAGCATCATGTAGGACTAGAGTTAGATTTGTGGTCAACATCAAGCATTCTCCTTTTCCTAACTTACCACTAGCGTTTTCTCCATTTCTAGTGAATTGGCGATGATTCTTTCCATGGCACAGACCAACCCAGTCATGTTTGGGCTGGTGGCAGATAGTCCGGGTGTGTCCGAGCAACTGGAACGGATGGGACGGCTAAAAGAGCTGCTTGAGACAGATCAGGATGAGCTTAAGAAAAAGCAGCGAGATGACTGGATTCGCTGGGTTAGCCGATACAGGTAAGAAGTTCCCCTCAGATCTACGGCGTCTTTTCTTCTATCTTTCAGCTGGTTGTTTACATCCCATAACTTTACTGTTTTGGTTCAGTGTCAACACTCTCATCAACCCTGTTTCCAGTAGCAACAGGCAGCTGACTTAGGCCTAGGCTTACATACTAGTTAATGAACAGAGCTATATTTTGAAATATGTCATAAATATATAGGTATAACATATGTACCTATATGAAATTGTTCCATTTTGAATATAGACATACAGTATATGACATTATAACATATGCCATATATTTAATTCCAGCATATGACATTTTCATAAATGCACATATTATTATTATTATATTGTGTATGGGATAAATCAACACTTTTTCTTGATTCTTTCAAACAATTGATCTTGCACTGAAATACCAGGAGGCGTTTAGCCAGGGAGTGTGATGCCACAAGTGAGTTGTCTGTCATCAAAAAGGAGAGACTCAGAGTGATGAACAGCACCAACCCCCATGTTGTCCTGCGCAACTACATCGCCCAGAATGCAATTGAGGCTGCAGAAGTAGGAGACTTCTCTGAGGTTAGGATACCTATAAAATGGTTCTTTCCTTGTTAAAATCTCAACTGGGACATCTGGATCCATTAAAACTTGTCTACAAGGCAACATGGGGATTAGGAGTGTATCGCAGGGTTTCCATCAGGAAATTGGTTTACTATATCAGAAATACCCTAGATGATGTTTTCTGCTACAGAAACAATATTAAGACAGGCAGTGATGCACTGGATTACTTTTAATGCTACTAACTGGGTCACTTGTATCCCTCTGAATTTGTTGTCTTAAATAATGCTAGATGGGCACATGGCTTTAGTAACCAGAAGGACTTAGGGCCCCGTAGGCAGAAGCATTACCTGCTAACGCTAGCGTTGCTTGCCTTCTGTGGACTTGACACTATCTTTTCACGTGACTTTTAATTGGTTGTTCTTGTTATCATTTGTTAATGAATGAGTCAACCACTAGGTGGAGACACAGAAATCGATGGTACCGACACTGTCCACAGACATGTGAAACTGTTGAAAAGACCAACAGCTGCTTTAATGGACTGAGTTGTCTCATCTGAGTTTGCACAGATCAATGTTGTTTTTTTGTATTTTTATGAGATTCAAATCCGAATTTTGCTTCAAAAATGAATAGAAGTCATCTTACATGCACTTTGTCCTGCAGGTCGACAGGGTCTTAAAGGTTCTGGAGAAACCATATTCAGATGCCTTTGGAGCTGAGTCTTTTGATGGATCTTATGCATGCGGTGAAAAGGAGCAGAAAGTGAGGGGGGTGACTGTCAGCTACAACAGGAAACCTCCTGCCTGGGCACAAAGAATTTGTATCACCTGATCTTCGTAGGGCCTCCTAGACAGTTGAAGGAGAGAGGTCTGCTTCCTGAAGGGAGGACGTAACCCAGTGTGTTCCAGTGTTCATCAGTATGGTTATAGATACATTTTTTGTGTGATCATAACGCCTTTATTGCAGTGTTTAAAGGTGTTAAAGAGTAACACAACATCACAGTAAAAACTGTATAAATTACCAAGTACAACTAAATGCTATGAAGATACAGCACAGTAGATGAATTAGCTGATGAAGTATGATGGCTCCGATGACCAGTCACACTATGACCTGTCTGGGTCTGAAACACCAGGAACACACTGATGATCAGTTATTTACTTATGGTCCACATGTCGATAGCCACACATATGAGCAATTCAAATGTTTACAATCAGTTTCTTAAACTTACCGCAGATAGAATAGAAAGAATGATTGTTGGCATTTTGTTTCAGACTGTTTCTCAAAGCTTTAAATAAAGTGTGTTAATTAACTTTGTATATATGTCTGCTTTAAACACGGGTCCAACACGATTTTTTTGTCAAACTTGAAACAGTTTTTCATTTTCTTTTTTTTACATGATATTTGGATATATGTGTGTTTGTGTGTGGTTTTCTCACTGGTTTAAAGAAGCCAGGGCCTAGTTAGGAAAAGGCGATGTCGCGAATTTCAGCGCAGCGTTTGAATCAAAATGATTCAAGCTGTGGGGTTGTTTAAACAGGCCACTGTCAATCAAACCGGATCAAACCACCATGATGAACCACCAGATAACTAACAAATTAATAATATAATCCACTCCATTAAATTAAACAAGTACCCTTTGAATTCATTCACCCCAATAAGACCCGTTATAGACACATACTGTGATGTGAAAAGAATTTGACAATATTTAATATGCCATGTGTTACTGTATTGATGATGGCCCATTTTTCATTAAATAAATATTCTTTCACTGTAATAATATTAAAAAAGTTAAGAGAGAGATATTACTAGTGCTTTTGTATCATCTGAGAATTATGGTAATCCATGTCATGATACCTGAGTCGACATATGAACTCAGAACACTGATTTTTCTTTAACAGACATTTTTATTGGCTGTTATTATTATGACCACAGTACCAGTTAGGTGTCTTTCTTGTTCTCATGTGGTTCTTATTCTTATCTATGCAACCACCTCAAATAGGTTTTAAGGCAATACACAGTTAGGCTATTGCCTATGCACTGCTGACAGTAAGCACTGACCTGCGCTTTACATGCTGTAAACACTGTACAATAAATAGCCTGCTACAGTATATCTACTGTCATACCAGTGTCTTACTCCTGCATTACATTATGGGAGGACATGCACATTCTTTCTATTTTGGCTAATCCGGTCACCAAAACAAGAACTTTAATGTAGATGTGACACAGAGTGAAACTATTAATGTTGTATAATGAACTGGCCAGTCTCTCTTCTCTAAACATAACAGTTATTTTAATTTACTATTATGATTTCCATACCCACCTATCACCCACTTGGCTGAACTGGCTCAGAGGGTTTCACCAAGTAGGTATGTAAAGAAATTCACTCGTATGGAAAGCTGATAAGAGTGGCGAGAACAATGCATTTCCTGTAAACAGGGTTGTTAGTCCAGTGTGCATTGACAGTGCACTCTCTATGGGGATCACATGGCTGTAAATCTTCAGTGAGCTCAGCAGGAAACGAGGAGTGAGATGACGACTACATCAGCTCAAAACTGAAACTGTTGCTGCATTTGAACCTTTCTTCGATCAGAGGATGAACGCAGAACAAAAGGACTGATTGATCACATGACAAACTGAGGACACAGACATGGCTTCTGTCCCAGAGCTTCTCTTGGACATTCTGGAGGAGCTGGTTGATAAAGAGTTGAGGACTTTCCAGTGGTTCCTTTATAGTAATATTCTCAAAGGATTCCCTTATATTCAAAAGTCTCGGGTCGATGGGGTAGACAGGCCTGGCACTGTGGATCTTTTGGTGCAGACATATGGCTACGACGGTGCTGTTAAAGTTACAGTGGATGTACTGATGAGGATGAAACTCAAACTGTGGGCTGAAACACTTATGAAGAAGTACGATGCAGGTAAAACATGTTTAAAAGGAACAATATTTGACTTTTAGTTTGTATGACAAAATACATTGGCCACGTAACAGCTATCTCTTCTCTTTGTCTCTTTATCAGTTCCATGCAATCAAGTAGGCAAAGGTAAGAAGATAAAACAACAATACCCACATACACAGTCCTGTTGACAAGTTCATACTCGTACTATATCCACGTACAGACACAGGATTAAAAGTTAATTTGCTCTGAACAGAAGTCGACCACCATGCAATCAGAGAAAAACTGAAATCCACCCTAAGGGAAAAGTACCAAAACATTTACGAGGGGAATGCTGATGAAGGAGACACTGTCTACCTGAACAAAATCTACACCGAGCTGCACGTGATCGAAGGAGCCTGGGGAGGCTTCAGCGAGGAGCATGAGGTCAGACAGCAGAAGTCCAACCAAGTGACAACGGAAGAAACCTCCATTAAAGCTAGTGACATTTTCAAACCCAAGCCCAACCAAGAGAAGCGAATTAGAACTGTGCTTACGCAGGGTATACCTGGAGTGGGTAAAACTGTCTGTGTACAGAAGTTTACCCTGAGTTGGGCAGAAGGAGAGGAAAATCAAGATGTCACCTTCCTTTTCCCGCTTCCTTTCCGTGAACTGAACCCCAACATTGGAGAGGACTACAGTCTGATGCAGCTGCTCCATCAGTTCTTCCCTGAGATGAAACCTCTTGAGACACTGGGAACTGAATACAAAGTCCTCTTCATCTTTGACGGCTTGGACGAGACTCTCCTCCCCTTGAACTTTAAGCACAACAAGGTCTTGAGAGATGAGACAGAGCCGGCCTCGCTAGATGTGGTGATCACCAACCTCATCACGGGAGATCTGCTTGGCAAGGCTCTCATCTGGATCACGTCAAGACCTGCCGCAATTAGTCGGGTCCCTCGAAAGCACATCCAGCTGTGGACGGAGGTGAAGGGCTTCGCTATCGAACAGAGGGAGGAATACTTCAAGAGGCGTTTGCGTGATGATAACCTTGCCACCAGAATCATCAACCATGTGAAGTCATCAAGAAGCCTCTACATCATGTGTCAGATACCAGTTTTCTGCTGGATCACAGTCACTGTAATGAAGAAAATGTTGCGCGACAATGTGACAGGAGGCATGCCCAACACCCTGACCGAGATGTACGCATATCTTCTTCTCTGCCAGACAGACCGGATGATAGAAGGGCACTACCCGATGGAAAGCGACAACGTTGTTTTGAAGCTAGCAGAGCTGGCATTCCGTCAACTGGAGAAGGGCAAACTGATTTTCTACGAGGCTGACTTGAAAGAATGCGGCATGGATGTCAAAGAGGCAACAATCTACTCAGGAGTTTGTACAGAGGTCTTCGTGAAGGAAGGCAGGAGGAGGAGAGAAGTGTTTAGCTTTGTACATTTAACCATCCAGGAGTTTTTGGCAGCTGTGTACGCCCATCACTCCTACATGCAAAGAAAGGAAAATGTTCTTCTTGGATACCTTAAAAGGATGTCTACGAGGTGGCTCCCCAAGTCTGTGTTCAGTTTTCACAAAACTGCCGTCGAAAAAGCCTTGGAAAGTCCAGACGGCCACTGGGACCTCTTCCTTCGGTTTCTCCTGGGACTGTCGCTGAAGTCAAACCAAGAGCTTCTGGGTAGAATACTGAATCTAGAAACAGAAGGAGAGGAGGATGTGGCTAGAACCATCCAGTTTATCAAGGAGAAGATCAAAGAGGAACCAGAGGCCAAGCTCAACCTGTTCCACTGCCTGAGTGAGCTCAAAGAGGAGTCTTTGGTGCAGGAGGTCCAGAGCTTTGTTAGTTCCGGGAGGCTTGCAGCCAAAAAGCTGTCACCGGTCCAGTGGTCCGCTCTAACCTTTGAACTGATGACATCAGAGGCAACGGAGAAGGAGTTCGACTTGAAAAAGTACAACAGATCAGATGAAGGGGTAGTGAAGCTGCTGACTGTCATTACTTCCTCCACACGTGCTCTGTGAGTTTACCCACACGATAAAAGTGTTCCTCTCTAAGCTGCAAACTAATTTCTGTGTAATACTGCAGCTTTTTCTTGTTTGTGTATTGTTTTTCTAGGCTAAATCGCTGCAACCTCACTGAGGTTGGCTGTGAAGTTTTGGCCTCCGTGTTGAGCTCTTCCTCCTCTCACCTGACAGAGCTGGACCTGAGTGACAACAACCTGAGGGATTCAGGGGTGAAGCTGCTTTCTGGTGGATTAGGGAGTCCAAATTGTAAACTGAAGAATTTAAGGTCTATAACAATTGTTAGCAGTCTTTTAGAAACCAAACATAGCACAACCCTACAAACGGCAGCATTAAATGGTTGAAAGACTTGTGGTTTAGGTTAGACTTGTGTTGGCTGTCATAATGTGCAAGTGAACAATCCACTTGATGAATATTAATAATCGAATTTTAAAGCTTTCTTTTTTTTTTTTAGATTACATAAGTGTAAACTGGAAGGAGACTGCTGTGAAGGACTGGCTATTGCTCTCAGCACAGAGTCTACCCGACTCAGAGAACTGGACCTGAGTGCTAATCACTTCCACAAAGCAGGAGTGAAGGCTCTGTGTGTGGGTATGCGCAGCCACCTCTGCAAACTAGAAACAGTGAGGTTAGATCTTCTTGCTAACAAACTTAACTCACTTGCTTGGACTTTAATCACAATTGATGTTATTAAGAACAAAATCATGTTGTGTTGGTTGAAAACTCTTTGCAGGTTGAATCAGTGCAAGCTAAAAGAGAATTGCTGTGCAGATTTGGCTACAGTTTTGAGTTCAGGCACATCTCACCTGAAAACCTTAGATCTGAGCAACAACAGCCTAAAGGATTCTGGTGTATCTCTGCTTACTTCTGGACTGAGGAATCCACACTGTACACTGGAAACACTAAGGTCAGTGCAGTCCTATGAAACGGAAGATTGTGGTTGTCCTAGCTACATGATTAGCTCTGTTTTGTCTCCACCAACTCCTGAGGAAACCATGTCATTTGGAGCTGAGCTGGTAAAGTGTGTAGTACTGTGTTTATCAGAACTTTTTCTGGAAACAACTACCTGCTGCTGCTGCAGACATAAATACAGAGATCAGTAAGACTGAACCATACAATAAGTGTGCAGATCATGAAAACAAAATAATCTGCTAAAACATGCTAATAACATCTGTAGCGCTGTGAATTTTGGTTATATAAGCATGTCACTATGAACAAACTTTCATATTACATCTATAATATACATACTGTAACTATATGTATAAAGACATTACACGATGTTGTACCACCATGTTTCTACAGTAGAGCAAACGGACAAACGAATCTATAAGCGCGTTTCATCACTTCGTTCAATATGTACAAAGAATAAGTAATAGTAACAGTAGTAGTAGTAGTAGTAGTCTGGTTTATTAGAAGTAAGAAGAGAAGTGAAATTTGGACAAATGGAGGACCACACGTGTTATTTAGCACAAGAGCCGACAGAGTGTGTCGGCCACTGTAGTGTCTCCTCCGTGGTTCATGTGGTGTCAGAATAATACGATTTTTTTCCCTCCTTAAATCTTTATTGCAAAAAGAGGAATAAAGTGTAAATGGGACATAAAGAAGTATACAGAACAGTATACAAATATAGTAAATATTTCACTCAGGAGTCAATGCAGAATGAATTCATGCTAAAAAGAGATTTAATATTAGACTTGGAGACTAATGAATGCTAATGTTCTATGCGAAATGGGTATATAGGCAACCGTTTGCTAACAAATTTGTCATTATCAACTTTAAAAGACGATGTCATTGTTGTGTTTAGAGGTTGTTGTACTGCCATCAAGTGATAAAACAATCAATTAAAATAGTTTCAATAACAAAATAATAACAAGACAATTTTTTACCACTGATGTCACAAGTAGTGCGCTCTACCTTCATTTGAAAATTTCCTTCACCTTTCAGGCTCAGCTGGTGCGGCCTTACACAGAAATGCTGCAATGACATTGGCTCAGCTCTCAGCTATGACTCCTCCCACCTTAGAGAGCTGGACCTGAGTGGAAACAACCTGCAGGGTCCAGACATCCAGCAGCTGTGTGTTGGACTGAGAAGTCCAAACTGTAAACTGGACACATTAAGGTCAGGTGACTCAGGTTCACAGGACACAACAAATAATAAAGTGGCTTATATCAGTATAGTGACACACTTTTACATTTGACATCAACTCAACTCCTGCAAGTTTCAGATCATTTTAAACTATATTGGGTACCACCTCTTAATATAGCATATAACCCGCTGGAACAAAACATATCCTGACCTCCAGGTTAAACGAGTGCAATCTCCAGAAATGCTGTGCTGATGTGGCCTTGGTCCTCAGCTCTGACACCTCTCACCTGATGGAGCTCGATCTGAGTGGAAACGACCTGCAGGATTCAGAAGTGAAGCTCCTCTCTGTGGGACTGGCAAGTCCGGGCTGTAAACTGGAGACGTTACGGTAAGCTGGCTTTACAATTAATTAATCAGCCAATGTGCAAAGGGCAAAGTAATACTACAATTATTTGAAAATCAAGGCTGATTCCTTACAGTAGTGACTCATGTTCAGTTCTAACCTGGGCTCTGCTGCATGTCATCCCTTCACTTGGCCCCTACTTTTCCTGTATCTCTATCACAGTCACAATAAAGCAGAAATGCCCAAACAATTATCTTTAAAACCTTTTTAAAAATTATACAAAATTAAAAAGAATGTCTGCACAATAACAACACAGAAACATCTAGAAATGTAAGGTAAATAAATAGAAAAGTAACAAGTAAGGGATAGAGTTTTTCAGTATTATTTTTGGTCAAATACGTCAACATGACACAAAAGGCAGATTGTGTTTCTGGGTGAAATGTGAATACCCTGCCTCCACGCAGACTGTCCTTCTGCGGAGTCACAAAGAAAGGCTGCATTTATTTGGCTTCAGCACTGAGCTCCAACCCTTCTCATCTGAGGCAGCTGGACCTCAGCTACAACTACCTGCAGGACTCTGGAGTGAAGCTGGTCTCTGTTCATTTGAACGACCCGCTCTGTAAACTGGAAACATTACGGTAAAACAATCCATCACAGCTAATAATTTAGTGTCTTTGAGCTATTTGTTCTGTAGTATCAACAATACAATTGACTAAAAATACCATGAAAAGAGACTCAAGCTAATTCCTGAAAATAAACACTGTTATTGTACACCATGTCTTGTTAAAATGGATGTTTCTTTGAATTCTCTTGTGGTTTAAAGTTTCATTTAATGATCAAGTTCCCTTTATCGGGGTGTTGATTGCCACATAGTTATCCATCCATGTTTCTTTCAGAGCTGCACACATGATAAACTGCAGAGAACAGAAAGCACAATTTTCAGAGGAAGTAAAGTGCACTATGTTCACGTGCTACAGAACATACAATAAACATTTTCATACATGCAAAATATACGTATCATTTAGTAACAAAAGCCAGATATAAAGTATTCAAAAACATCATAATGTGTCGATTAGTGATACTTTTGTGTATATTCTATCTACAGTGTGGACTATAATGCAGAGTGCTACTTGAAATCAACACTGAAAAACTGTAAGTCATTTAATTTCTATTTAACTAATTTTCACTTATAATTGAACCAAACAGACTATAAAATAGAAAATCATTGAATTAAATAAATTATTCTGATGATAATGCATGGATCTATATCTAATTTTCTTTCAATATTTAATCAAGTTTGAAGTTGAACTGAAAAAAAAAATAGAGTTTTGTTTTGAATAATTTCCTCCATCTGCCATCTGAGTTTAGTTTCACACACGTGTTCATATGCATGCTGCCATCTTTCAGCCTTTTCACTTCACATGTTGTAGTGTTATATTTGTCCAACAGATGGCAGGATAGAGATATATTAAAACCGAGAGTGCGGGTTCTGTGATCCTGATCTGGTTACTTTCTTTCATTCTGTCTGTGTCTTTTTGGTTAGATTAGGCACAGGTCAGTTGGGTCTGAAAGCTCTGGGACAGATGTGTGGCAGTTGAATGCTATACTATACTATAGCTATATTGTTGAGGCCCTGTTTTGCAGAGACCCTGAGGGCTTAATTATTTTAGTTTATATTGTGCTTACATGGTGCATTTCACTGCAAGAAAATGTGTTTATAACTTTTGCCATTTGCCATTTTTACCCTGGGTCCCCCTAATTTGTTAATATAGTTTATTAATATAATTTATTTATGAAAAAAAAGCTGAAATGTTGCTGTGTTTTGTACAGATGCATGTACGCTGACTTTGGACACAAACACAGTTGCCAAGTCTCTCTTTCTGCACGATAGTGGAAAGCAGGTGACGTGGGTCAGGGAGACACAGCAGTACCCAGATCACCCCGGCAGGTTTGAGAGTGTCTCCCAGGTGCTGTGTCGCGAAGGCCTCACCCGACGCCACTACTGGGAGGTGGAGTGGCGAGGACGCTGGGTGGACGTTGCTGTGGTGATGAGGGGGATCCGTCGGAGGGCTGGCTCTCACCTGTGGGTTTGGATACACAGATCAGTCCTGGAGTCTGTTCTGCTCTGAGGATCACTACAGCGCTCAGCATGACAACCAGCCTGTAGAAATACCAGTCCCCCCGTCTCGCTCCCACAGGGTTGGAGTGTATCTGGACTGGCCTGGTGGCTCCCTGTCCTTCTACAGTGTCTCCTCTGGGACTCTCAGTCACCTTCACACGTTCCACGGCTCCTTTACTGAGCCTCTCTACCCCGGGTTTGGGATGGAGGAGGATGACTGCTCTGTCACTATTTGCACAGAGTGTTTGCCAACATTAATTTCTCGGTCAGCTAGTGCAGAAAGAATTGAGGAATTTTGAGATGTTCACTTATGCTGTCTAAATGGATTTCAAACCTACAAGAAAAAACATATGTATGAAAACATGGACATTGTAAAAAAAAAAAGGATAATGCAAATTTGCTAGCATTTATAATGAAAAGGTCTGTTTCACTAAATAAGCTGTTATGTTGTGACAAATAAATGTACCTACCTAAAAAGGTTTCTACAATCCAACCTGCAACTGCACCACAGGACAACACTGATCCATACTTTTTTAAAGTCAAATGCTGCCAGTGAGTAAGGGCAAATATCAGTCTACATTCATGCTAGCAGCTCTCTGAGGTTGCACTTCTGTAAAGCTGCACTTTGAGTTCAATGCTAACGTCAGCAAGCTAACATGTTCAAAATGACAATGCTAACATGCTGATGTTTAGCTAATATGTTTACCCTGTTCACCATTTAGTTAAGCGTGTTAGCATGCAAACATTTGCTATTTGACTCTATATGAATAGCAAAATAATAGAATTGTGAATTTTTGCTGAAACTGTCCAACCTATGTATTTTGCAGTTGTCACAATCAGACCTGAAGGACAATAAATATGACCACAGTGTTTAAAAAAAAAGGTTAATCTTAAACAACCAACTGTAAACTTTTAAGTTATCTTGTTTGCAGTGTTTAATTTGCTAGTGCACACGAGGATTTTCAATCCATATCAGAGTAGTGATTCCGGGGACTTGGGATCTCACAGATCCCAGAAAAAACAAGTAGACTGTTGTCAGCTAGTTGCACTTTGTGTGCTATCTTTTGCACAGAAACACAAAAAACATTTAATCTGTGGAGAAACCCATGGCTGAGAAGAGGGAATCAGCATGGTTTATTATAGAGCTGGGATGAGTGATGTGTGTTTTATCACCTGCTGCGTTCAATCCAGGCCGCTTATAACACTGCATATCTTTAAGGAATTCTGTAACTGTAACATCTTTTTCATTTACAGAGCACAACCATGTAATGTGCACCGCTACAACTTAATCAGCTTACAAACTACTGTAAGTCAATACATGCCCCCAGACTCTCAAACCAGTGTAATGTTACACGAGCAACAATAAACCTGTAATCTGTTTGCAGCCTTAGTCGGCTACTTCAACTTTGGCAAGTAAACAAACACTCGTTCATCTTTTCACAACATCTTGTGAACAACAGTCGGACTTAACAAATGCTGAGCTAAACATGGTTACTAATGTGTTTTGCATTCAGCGATTCTTTTGTTGCTGTTGTATGTTTACGATGAGTTCGTTTATACATAATCCTAGAAAGTGCAACACCTAAGAAGTTATGTTTCCCTACTTTCCATCAACAAACAACCAGGTATAACCACATTACCGTCATGCACCACTGGTGGAACTACTTTTTGTATTCATAAAGAAATGTCTTTTGATGAAATAAAACAAAGTCAAATTGTAGTGCGTCTGTTAGCCTACTGTTTTTGCCATACTTGGTAACCGTTTTATAAAAGCAATAGCTCACTTCAGGCCGTGATATACAAAATTCAGACCTATCGCGAATTTAATCCTTGCAAAGCTTTCCACACGGGAGTTTTATCGCTGGACAACTGCCAAGTGTTTACACACAATAAGCACAACTCGCCATTACTACAGCTGTATGAACCGCAAGTAAACATTTTGCTGAGATTTAATAGCAATGAAACTAATGCCGAAATAACTACAATATGCTGCAGATTTGTAAAACATAGGCCGAACAATGCCCCTTAACTGCTATAATAAACGTATACCATGGCCCGTCATGAGCTGTTGCTCAAGTATACAACTCTGTCAACAACAGTATCAGTTTTAACAGCAGTTTAAAGTAAATTCACTGCATTTAAATGTCACACTAGAGCACCAGCATCTCAGTCTGAAACTTCCACCGTGTGGGATAACAGTCTCTAGTGTATAAATCATCCCAGCAGTCATTTTGAGACAGTACGAGTTTTTGTAACTGTCAGAAAGAAAACAGTCACAATCACAGTCAGTCAGAATCATCTGAAATAATGCAGGCTAGAGTCTGGTACTTCTCACACATCCAAGGCTTACAACACTGAGACATCTGGGGAGCAGAGAAGTGTTCAAAAAGTGGGAAATAACTGGGATCTACCCCTGAATTGAGGCACAGCCTATATTTCAAGTTAGCAATTTGACCAGCTGCTAAGGAACCATGTGTGGAAAAGGCTAAGAGAGGGACAGAAATAAATATATTATTTAGTTTTAATGAGTTGTTTACTTTAACTGTAATAGTCAATGGTCCTTTCTTGTGTATTATCCACATTGTTGTCATATGTTTAATCATTTGCTGAATGATTGTTGCATTTTTATTCACAATCATCTGATCATTGATATATCATATGTATATATTACACATATACACACACATATATATACACACACGCAATATATCGTGCAGTGCTCACATACTCTATATTCTTTAGGTAACCCAGACTTTTTATGCCTCCCTTTTTCAATTGCAAGGTATGGTCACTGAGTCTGACACACAGACACACACATGAGATATTTTGGGAGATAGGGTTATTCACTCTTGCCAAGAGAATGATTGGAAGATCGATACCACTCTGCATCCAGCAGCCAGTTAGCTTAGCGTAAAGACTGTAAAGGGGGGGGGGGGGGTGACAAGATGAAATGGTGAGTTGTTACATCTAGAAATGTACATTCCCATGAAGCTAAAAGTATATTTGTACATATTTGTTTAGAATAATCACAACGCTATCACTAATTGCACTTTAAGAAACTATGGTGAACTACAGTCACCACATTATACACGGTAGCAGAGCACAGGTTATCTTTAGATGTAAACATTTTAGGGATGCGTGTCCCAGCCTATTGTAATTTGTAGTAGCTATTTGAAATACCTGATCCCAACCTGGCTTGTAGCTGATTACTATCCTGTTATGTTTCTTTTGTGCTCACTCAAAATTCCTTGGATGTAAATAAGTTAGAAAAAGTGCACTTAGCTGTGCATGGAATACTGATGGAAAAATGTGTAAACTCAGACTATATATTTGCATCCCCATTCCGCTCCCCTAACACACACATCTAACCGCCCTTTTGAGGACATATGTAGGACAAGAGAACATCAATCATATTCTTAATAATGGGAGGCTGTGGGTGGAGGCTGTGTGGCAGGTGGTGGGCCAGACTCATCTCCCAGGCGTCCACCAGACGAACATTCAGTCCTTTGAACACGGCTCTGAGCACCTTGTCACGCTGCAGTGAGTACCAGTCGCTGTTGGTCAGCGTCTCATAAAGTGTCAAAGCTTTGAGGTTCGCGGTCCGGATGACGACCAGTGTGTCTGGAGCCCTGACCAACAGCCGCACCACCGCCCTGCGGATGCTCTGCAGCCGCTGTATGTAGAGCTCCATGGGGAAAGTGCTGAAGTGAGACCAGATGCCAATAACTACAACAGTGTTGCTGCCTCCAGTTAACCCATCTAGTTCATTGGCAATGTAACGCAGCTCAGTGGTTGGGACGTTGCCAAAACGGAGAGGAGGACCGTGGCAGCGATACGTCACCAAGATGTTGTTTGCATAGTCCAAGGCCATGAAAGGTCCAACTTGCTTTGGACTGTGCAGGTTAAACTCCTTAAGATCTAAAAGTATCACAGAGGGAACAGATGAAGCTGCAGTGTGAACAAAATCAAACTGTTGACAGAAATCCCTGTGGATCACTTACCTGGCAGTGCTGCGTTGAGGTGTTCAAACCACTGTCTGATGGTGGAGTCTCCATACAGGTGGACCTTCTTGCCTTTCAGACACTGACTGATAGCAGACGAGGTGTTGAATTGGTTGACCATGATTCCACCTAGTGCTCGCCACGCACCCTGGTAGTAATAGCCAGAGGGTCCAGACTTCACACTGCTGCTCTTCACCTCCGGTTTACCTGAGAGGAAGTTAAGTTTAATGATGGGGTTATTTTATATTTGTCTTATTTTCAACATATCCCATGAAAAGATAAGAACCAAGGTCTCCCTAACCTGTTTATGACAATTAAGTTATTTCATTACAACTGAAGACGTGAAGTTTTATAATTCAGTCAGGACAACTTTCATCAAAGGCATTGTTGTAATGTTTGGCAGTATGGCTCTGTTCTGGGATTTCCATGACCTTCAACACGCTTTCGTGCCTGCATCTGTGCTGCACATGATAGCGTTGTTTGATTCTTATCACCAAAATTCTTGGCCTAAATTTATTTCCCGATATGATTCCAATAATGAAATATGCCCAATCGGCCAATACTTATTGGATCTACAATTATCGTGCATCCCTACCACAGCCTGAAAGGCAGAGCTGGGGTGGCGGTGGGTTATGAGCTGTTTGCAGTGTAAGCAACAAGGGCAGGCAGGCAACAGCAGCTTAAATAGGCGCCTTGTATGTAATTTGACAATGAATACTAAGAGAGAAATCAGCTGAGCTGTCAGCTGATGTGTCTGGCTTAAGATGGCTGCTATCAGCTGATGTACTGGGATTGTGAGCTGAGCTTGACTTTGTTGCCTTCGTGAACTAACGTTAAGCATGATATGTGTCACAAATACACTGTAATTTCCTGCTAGGTAGAGTGCATTTGTTGGACTATTTTCAGCAGTGGATTAATACACATTTAGTGCACATGTATAGACCCCTTTTCTGTTAGTAAACATAATGGGGTTTTTTTGTGGGTGGAGCTTACTTGGAGGCAGAATTGGAAAAAAACGACAAGAACACGAGAGCACCTGTTTTAAAGGTGTGCTATGATATAAAGCAAACAACAACACAGCAAGTAATGCAACGCTAGCTAAGTTGTGCATTAGCATGCTGTTGTTACAGTTGATACTGTGAAGCTAGCATGCAGAGTGGACGAAGCAGTCAAGAGCCAGCATACCAGCTCCCAACAGCAATACTCACTACTCTCCTGCTACCACACTTTGGCACCATAAACACAGCAGCTGCAACCTCACCTACACCTGGGCCCCTCCCCTGTCCTTCACTTTGGAGGAGGTGACGATGGAGCTGGGGAGGCTGCATCCTGGAAAAGTAACAGGCCCAGACAGCGTATGTCCAAGACTGCTTAAGGACTGTGCCACTCAACTGAACGAGCCTCTTCAGAGAATCTTCAATCTGAGTATACAACTGGGGAGGGTCCTGTTGCTGTGGGAAACATCATGGCTTGTTCCATTACCCAACGTAGGGCGTCCGGACAAGATTAACGTCTACAAACCAGTGGCCCTCAGATCACACATCATGAAGACCCTACAGAGGCTATTTCTTTGTTGACTGAGACCACATGTCAAACATGCACTAGACCCCATACAGTTTGCACGCAAGGAACACACTGAAGTGGATGATGCTGTCCTCTACATGCTCCACCGGGCCTATTCTCACCTGGATAAACTGGGAGGATGTGTGAGGATAATGTTCTTTTTGAGTTTTTAGTGCATTTAACACCATCCATCCCTTCATGCTTAAGGACAAACTGGAGGGGGTGAGGGTGAATCCCTCCTTCACTGCCTGGATTACCTTACAGATTACAGATGACCACAATTTGTCAGACTGGGGAGCTGTGTCTGTGGGATGGCGGTGTGCAGCAGGGGGCTCCACAGGAGACTGTTCTAGCTCCTTTCCTGTTCACATTGTACACAGCACAGACTTCAAATACAACTTCAAGCCCTGCCACATCCAGAAATACTCGGATGACACTGCTATTGTGTTCGTATTAGAAACGGACAGGAAGGGGAGTACAAGGACATGACAAAGACCTTCTGTGACTAGGGTGATAAAAACGGCCTCCTGAGGAACACCTCCAAAACCAAGGAGATGGTGGTGGACTTATGTAGGTCTAAACCCCCCTGCAGCCGGTTAACATTCGAAGGGCAGACATTGAGGCGGTGCAGACCTATACATTTTTAGATGTACACCTGGATGATAAGCTAGACTGGTCCCTGAATATGGATGCCCTATACAGGAAGGGGCAGAGGTGGCTCTTTTTCTTGAGGATGTGCAGGTCCTTTGATGTCTGCAGTAAAATTATGCTTTACCTTTCTTTTTCGGCAACACTGTGACATTGGCAGGTCCTGAAGCCTGAATAGAGACCTTCATGTTGACACCACTGGAGAAAAGTCATAAAGAAAGTAAAAGCTTTTTTATTATACACCTATTGCAAATACAGTTTTTGCTCACATGTCATATGGTTGTAACCGTTAGTTGCTGTCCACGTAGAGTGACTTTAGTTATTTATTAGCATTAACCCTCATAACAAGTCAGGTAACGCAATATTTTAGAGATTTGAGGGTCTACTGATGAAGCAACAAATCTGGGATGGAATAAGCTTCAAACTGTTTCAGCATACTTGGATAGCAATATCGCATACATAACAACCCGTCTCCCAGACACTATACAAAAACGTACATGTTTTTTTTCCAAACGTACATGTTGCTCATAGACACACTGAAGTCAGAAAAAAAGAGTTCCCAACTCAGGAAACCATCCTAGGAGCACATCAATGCAGATTATAACCCACCTTTGCAGTTCCCCTTCGGTCTGCAGAGTATTGTAGTGTCTTCCAGCTAACTGCTTTTGGTGTTATGGCCTGCAATTTGCTGTTTTGGTTGATTCTCACCCCTCTCCTCAACATATTTTATTCGACGCATCAAAAAGCGCTATGACTAACCAATTGTGCACTACCTACCACTAAATAGCAGACAGACAAAGTCAGCAACTAGCTGGTGAACATACCGGATTATTAGCAGATAGAAATTTAGATATTTCACTCATGAGCTGGTGGAGACCAAACTAGAGCTGAAAGGAGAGTGAATTTTGTATTTACATTTGCCAGGTGGCCAGAAGCACTCATAACGCATGCTAATGTTGCTGCATGCTTACTGGATGTGCAAATAGGCCACTGCTTTCTATCAGTTATAAGGTATGTCAACGTTACTTTTATTGTGCACTGCCCCTACATGGAAAAAAAAACTATGAAAATGATTATTTTGATTTGAATTATATTAGACTGATTAGATTAGATTCAATCTCTAGTTACAAACTTGCTAAATTTCCCACAAACGACATACATATTTATTACAAGTCACACACAATGCCAGTCCTGTGTCTCTGCTTCCTCACCTTTGAAAGAGCTTCTCTTCCTCGGCTTTGAGGTTTTGATTGAATCCTCCCATGGAGTGGCTGATCCTGGCATCACAGTTGAGATTCTTTGGCTTGTAGCAGAACCAAGGCTCGCCTGTACGGAGGTCAGTGTAATTGCACAGCGGCTGCTGGGTTGGACGTAGGCAGACGTTACAGGTAGTAGTTTCAGAAAGAGAGCCAGAACGGAAGAGGCTGTGGAAATAAACCCTGTCTGGCTGTTCACTGGTCAGCCTGCGCAGCACTGTGACAGCCTCACTAGGGTGAACCAGCATCACCTGATGGGACAGAGAACCAGAATTTTCACTAAGTCCAGTCATATCAAAAAAGGCAAATCAAATGAATACTACTTGCTGCACACTATGTATTAGGCGTGCACAAGTTTGAGCTTTAGTCTACAATCTCTGGTGAACTGACCATTCACTCAACTAAACACCTCGAACAGAGATCTTCGAATCACAGCTTATCAACTGTAACTAGGCACAGCAGGAATGTGAAACTTTCAAACTTTTTTTTTTTACAGGTTTATATTTGGTATATCCCGTTCATGACTAACACATCTACTTTGCAGTATTTCACCATTGTTTGGAAGCCACCAAGGTGCTACTATTAGGGAGCAGGCTAACATTAGCGGCCTCACCTCAACCTGTGCGCTTCCTTCCCAGAGTAAAGAGAACACAGCAGAGTAGGAGCCATTGAGATGATCCACCACTTGTCCAGCCACACCTGCACCAAGCTTCAGGTTGTGCAGCCTGGTGAGTACGACGTCTCCCCCAGACTTCTTGGGACGGCCCTGGAAGTCATACATTTTAATCATAATCTCCAGCTGATCCCCTACATGCCAACGTCCTCCTCCTCTCCCTGGGAGAATGATGAATTTGCTGTTTGCAGGATCACTGGTCTGCTCCAGGGAAAGAGGATCTAGTAGAACTGGAGTTTCAGGCCAAGCAATGGAGTCTAGTAGGAGGCGTTCCTCCAGAGATTCTTCCTTGGACAGTGATTGGAAAGTGCAGAAGACTTGATTGATGTCACGGTCTGGGGCTGGGATGGTGGGTTTCACTTTATGCTGGTCGAGAGAGAAGGTGATGAAGATGCATTAAACAAGTGTACTAACACAACATCAAGACATCCAATTCACTCTACGTGGACAGCAAACTAACTGTTATCACCATATTAAAAATTACATGTTTGCAAAATATGTATATGCAATATGTGATTGTGCACAAATCAAAGTTCTGTATACTTCTTTTTGTCCCTTGTACACTTTATTCCTCTTTTTGCAATAAAGATTCAGGGATGAAAAAAAGATTCTGATTATTCCGACACCACATGAATGCTCCGCTCACCTCTCCCTTTCCAAGCGTGCAGGAGTTGGCTCCTGTGCTAAATAATATCTGTGGTCCTCCATTTGTTACTTCTTCTTCTTTTTCTTGTTTGTACGTACACATTCAACGTAGGCTTGGGCGATCTTCTCTATTTTCATATCGTCTGATCATGGCTACTTGAGATCACCGATTGGCAATCTGATCGCCAGGGGACAGTGTTACGTTGCAGCATATTAGTGAAATGCCAGCATGGAAGAAATAGGCTTATTACCTTTAAGAGAATCCACCAAAACATCTTTAAATGCTCAGTACAGTGTTTCCCACAGAATGAGGCGCTGAGCAAATCAATGCGCTGTGCGCAACTCCACAGTGAATTATGGTTTTACTCAAATAAATCAGTGAATGGGAAACAGTGCAGTGTGGTGCAGATTCTAGAGACAGTTTTTGTGTCAACTTAGTTCTGATCTGAAAATCATCGCATTAAAAACCAATCACTGATCATCCCTAATTCTACGTAGTGAGAAACGCTCTCTGAAGAGTCCATTTTCGGCTACTGTAGAAACATGGTGGCGCAACTGGGTGACATCCATGTAAGTGGACCCCTGATATATGTAGCTAGAAATGGCTCATTCTTAAGTAATAAAAACCTATCCCTTCATTTTGTAAGGTCTTTATACACCACTGAAAACATAGTTGGATGGATATTGCATTGCATTTCTGTCAATAGATTCTCCTAAATATTACACACTGAACCTTTAAATCATCTTTAAGGACCCAGTTGCTGGGAGTGGAGGGAGGAATGAGAGGGTCTGTGTTTTGCTTTGTTTATGGTTATACAGAGTTGCATATAGATACATAGAGAAGGGCTAGAATTGGTCTTTGGGTGCCAAGGTTCCCTCTGGGACTCTCACTTTATTGTCGTATGTTGTCTTTATGTTGTGCTGTGTTTGTGTTGTGCCTTACTTTTACAATGAAAACATGTACCCCATATTAGTAATTGCGCTCATGCACTTTTGTACACCACTGATTGTTACTTATGCACCCCATTACCACTATTATTATTGCTTACTTATTTTATCATATTTGAATAAATAGAGACCAGAACAGCTACAATATGGCCCAGTCAAGATAGTAAATGTCTAAATTTCACCATATTCCTTTACTTTAAATTTTTTTGGTTAAAATTGAAGGATAACATTAATCAAGGGGACTACATCCTACATAAAAAAAAGTAGACTTTTTGGAGTGCTTCATTAACCTTGAGTCTGGGGTTGAAGGCGGTTTTCCTATAATAATAATAATATTAATAATAATAATACATTTTAAAAACATAACAAATAACAAAACATATATAGCAAAATATATGAACATTAGGTAAAAACATGTGGTCCAGAAATACATAAGAGTGTAGGGGCGACCATATAAATAACAAATAACAAACAGCAGCAGGTGCAATACAACATTATTTGAAGTAAAAAATCTAGTCTAAAAAGGTGAGCTTTGATAAGTGATTTGAAAGAGTACATGTCACTGCAATCTCGGACGTGTCTGGGTAAGTAGTTCCAAAGGGCCTGCGATGGTGAAAGCTCTGTCGCCCTAGGTACGGTGCTCGGTCCTGATTTGTGGGGAGAGGAGGTTAATTTCAGGGGAGCAGAGGTTACGGGAGAGATTGTGGCGGTGGAGCAGGTCTGTGAGGTAGGAAGGGGCCTTGTTATGGAGGGCTTTATGTGTGAGGAGGAGGATTTTGTACTGAATGCGTTGGGGAACAGGGAGCCAGTGAAGATTCTGGAGGACAGAGGTGATGTGGTCAGGGTTGCGTGTGTGGGTGAGGAGGTGGGCAGCAGAGTTTTGGATATATTGAAGTTTATTTAGGGCTTTGGCAGGTGAACCATAGAGGATGCTATTACAGTAGTCAGTTCTGGATGTAATGAAGGTGTGGATCAGGGTTTCAGCAGCAGAGAAGGTGAGTGGTTGAGGTGAAAGAAGGATGTCCTGGTGACATGGTTGATTCAAAAGTGTGTTCAAAAGTGGGGTTGCAGTCAAAGATGACTCCAAGGTTGCAGATGTGTGGGGATGGAGACAAGGTGAAGTTGTTGATGGAAAGGCTGAAGTTGTTGGTGTTTTTTGTGAGTGATTTGGGGCCAGTGATGATCATGTCAGATTTATTGAAGAAAAAGTTGGTTTGCATCCAGGTTTGTCGGTGAGGCAGTTGGTCAGAGTTGCAGAGGTGTATGTAGTGATGGATTTGGTGGAGATGTAGATCTGGATGTCATCGGGGTAGCAGTGGAAGTGGAGGCCATATCTACATATGATAATATGGAGTGGCAGGATATAAATGATGAACAAGAGAGGACCAAGCACCGAACCTTGGGGGACGCCTTATGACAAAGGAGCAGTGAAGGAGGTGCAGTTATTGATGTTGATGAACTGTTGTCTGTTGGTGAGGCAAGAGCAGAGCCAGGAGAGTGCGGTGCCAGTGCTGCAGTGAGGTCGAGCATGATTAGGATGGTGAGGTGACCAGAGTTGGCGGAGAGGAGGAGAGGAGGAGGTCATTGGTTCTTTTGATGAGGGCTGTTTCAGTGCTATGTTGTGAGCGGAATCCAGATAGAAATGGTTCGAACTGGTTGTTAGTCGTGAGGTGGGTTTGAATTTGAGCAGCAACAACATGTTCTAGGATTTTTGATAGGAAGGGGAGATTGGAGATAGGTCGGAAATTGGACATAATGGTTGAGACCAGGTTTCTTGAGGATGGGCGTGACAGCTGCAACTGAGTGTTGTGGGGACTGATCCGGATGTGAGGGAGGAATTAATGATTTTCATGATGAGTAGGGTGAAGAGGGTGATGGATGGAAGGCAGGTCGTGATGAGGGATGATGGGATGGGGTCTAAGCTGCAGGTGGAGTTATTCATTTTTGTGGTGAATTAGGGTTAGACGGAAAACAGTCTCCAACAAATACTCTTTATTCTTTATTTGATTAATTTTGCTTAAAATTACAGTGCCTACCTGTTTTACGAGCATCAGTTGTCAATTTTAAAACATACTGTATATATCTGTGACCCATTTCTAAAGATTTATGTCTTCAGTAGGAACGAATGGGAACCAGTAGGTTGGAACACATTGATGGTTTTGGTATTGTCATTAGATGGAAAGAACAGAATAATGCCTTCCATGTCCTTTAATTAGCGAAGCTGCTGCTGTCAGCAAAGCAGTGCAAGATTTACAAGGTGAAACTATGTTAACTCAAGTTGCAATGAAGTACATTGCTGTTACTCTGAGCCACATTGCACTCTAACAAAATCCTGAAATCTGACATTTATGCTTCAAATGATCCCACTAAAACCAAGTTCTCACCTCCAGGAAATCCATCTTGCGTAGCACAAAGATGAAGCCAAACACAGCCTGAGAGAGGACGATGAAGAAGATGACGATGATTCTGTACTTTGTGAGGCGCATGCTGACCACCTTTCTTATGCAAGCTCTGACCTTCATGATCAGTGTTCAGTCTTCATCTCTGGCCGCCAAATTGCACTATGATCACTTCATCTGCTCCTGGATTTTTTTTAAAAAGGGGGACATCTTGTTATGATAAAAAGTATTACTTGCATAAACTTGAACTCAAATGGCAAATGTCTGGCTTTCAATCATTAGGACTAAACTAAACAGTTACCCAGGACATTGATGGATCAACCAACAACTAAGTCTACAACCAAAGACAGCAGCCTTCTCTCCCTCATATCTCTCTGACTTTAACGATCTCCATAATAAGTTAATGGAGGAAAAAACTGAAAATTAAAATCTTTCTAATGAATGAAGAAATTAGACTGTGTAACAAATATACTAATATACAGATATACTGTGGGGAGCACTTGCAGCGGAACAGAAAAGCTGCTCATGCAGGCGGTGATTATGCTGCTCAGCTCTGCAACAGCGAGAACAGGGTGCGCTCACAGGGACAGGTACAGACAGACATATGTTCCGATGTGGTAGTGAATTGTTGAAACTGAGTTATCACATCACGCAGGTTCGTATGTATGTAAACACGAATGTGTTAAAACGGAGTTGTTAAAATTTTATGAAGTTGTAAGGAAGAACTGAATATCTAGCAGGATCTCTTGTGCTGTTTCAGCGTTATTAATGCTGTTTAAATTCACTAGAATGAAAGAAAACCGTCTCTGTTTGAAACATTTTGTGGGGGCAGTATAAAATCTTACCCAGGGCTCCAACAATGTGAAGGACGGCCCTGGTAAAACTGAATGTGTTTTTTGTTAAAACTCAGAGGAAAATGTTTCCCATACTGAGAAACTGTTCTCATACTGAGAGATTCTGGTCAGACATGGAGTTTATTCAAGCTTATGTCATTCTGGTGTTTCTTTTTGTTTTAAGGATGTTTTCTTTTGTGTTTTTGATTTCAGGAGGGATAAGAGAGGAAAATATTTCATAGAAAATCTTTTATTCTTACTTGCTGAATACCATATCCACAGATGTACTGGTTCTAAACCGTTCTTCCCTTTCTTTAAGATTGATCTTAATGTTTTGGACCATAAAATAGGCTAATCATGAAATTATAAAGCTCAAAGGACTGTACAATGTGCTGACCTAAATACTGAAACTCTCAACAGAAATTGGTGCTTTAATCCAGATTTTTTCGTGTATCCCTGAAAAAAGGAAAGGTTGTTTGTTTCTTTATAGGTATATAAAATTTACGTAAACAACTGCCAGGAATATGTTCACGAGGCAGTCCGCAGCTGCTGCACACGGCACGCGCAGCGTCAGGCAAGTTTGGAAACCAGGAGGAAAACACCGGAAATGCAACAGTTGGATTACTCTAAACGTTCACAGAATATAAACTTTGGATCTTTTATCACCATTTATGAACCTCACAAAGAAAATAATACTATATCGTTTTTAACATTAGGCCTTGTTTGCAGTAGTAGGCCTAATCATTACGTCAGTTTTCACTTTAGCTGTAATTACGTAGGCTACATCAGAGAGAGAGAGAGAGAGAGAGAGAGAGAGAGAGAGAGCAACTAGGTTTCGTTTTTTATGAAAACGCCTTTGATTCTTCTGATCGTTTTACCTTTACGGACTAAAGGAATATACATAATCGAGGAATGGACACATATTCGGACTTTATGCTTCAAAAGGAGGGACCACTTTCTTCCGTCTCTCTTGTTTACCATGCCAGCAGGCGATATCTATCGTAAATAAACACATTGTTGCTTGTTTCCCGTAAAATAAACTGAACGATTGAATTGTGGAGAATCTAACCGATCTAACGATGTACAGCATGTCCGTTTTGACAAATGTTAAAACATTTTTATTTGTTCTGTATCTTAGCAGATAGAACCAGAACTCGTACGTTCATATTTATACAAAATACAATTAACAAATAAATAAGATGAATTATTATAGGTAGCCTAAATGATAAAAGTAGTTCAAATCAGCCTCAACTTTACCAGCTGCAACATTAAAGTGATACATGCATCAACACAATACCATGATATATATTTCTGAAATGGGCCATTGTGCACAACTGAAGGCTACTTGTGGTACTTTAAGTAGGCTATAGCCTTTGATGCTAATACTTTGATACTTCTACAAAGTACAACATTTCCCTGTTGTGGAGTAGTAGGTCTATCTCAAAACTATACACATATTAGAAAATTTAGTGGCAACATTTAGTTTTATGATGTCTATAAAACCAGACTTTAAATATAGGCTACTCAAATAAATCATGTTTTACCTGAGCAGAGACTCATTTCGAGGCAACATGGAGATGATCTCTTGGTGGGATTCTGCAGTTTCCTTTTGTAGACAATTTTGTTCTCTTTGCTCAACATTCAGGAAATACATGTGTGCAGAGCTCCACATGCTATTAGGCAATTTAACTTGCATATGCCCCTAAAATAGATGCACCAGAACAAGTATTTACAAGCACTGAAACATTTACAGTGGGCTACATTACTGCAGTAATCACAGTTTTAAATCAAACTGAGCTGTATGAAGCTGTAACTGATCAATAAACAATAATTTGTCATGCTGGGATCTGTCCCACTGATGATGGGACTGTCATAGTTATCATCTTTAAGATGATGTGAATATTTCTGAGTGACGATGATTGTGGAGCAGCTGAAACAACTTAAAGTGAGTTTTCCTGCATAGGCTATAATCTTAATGTGTTTTGACACTATTTCATTAAATGCGAAATGAGCACAAATTTTAATTTAAATTAGCCTAGATGTCTAAAAATGTAGGCTACACTCAGTTTGAACCTGGACACATTTTCAACTACAAATCACCTAAATAATTATAATGGGGATCGGACTATGTCTTTACAATCCTAGGTCAATAAGTAAACTATGTCTTCTCTGTTTTGATCCATATTTCATCTTTACTTATTGCTACCTAAATTTTGTGCCGTGAGGTTCCAGGAATTTAAAAATCCAATGTAACATACAGTGAATAGGCTTTCTGCACTTGATCATTAATTCAGGTCTGGTAAATGAATAAGAGGGCTGTACTGAATAAAATGTGGACTAAGATTGTTAACTTATTGACTCCTTCCCCCACTCCTGTCTTTTAAGATAAATGTGATTGTCTGCATTGGCAGCACTCATATTTCTAGTACCAAGGTATCCAAAGGCTTTGCTCTTTATTTACCCGTTGCCCTAGTGAAGAGTAGTATTGGAGCTCCACTGATGATCACACACTTCCATGAGGTTTCAAACAAACTCAGAGTTGATCGAAATAGGCCTCATTCTGATCAGCTGTTCTGGAACTGAAAATTCTGAGTTTCCCATCTCAGACTTAATCTACTCAGAGGTCAGGGTTCAGCTCAGAGATTGTTGAACCTGCTTTCTGAAACAGGGCCCATGCTGTAGATAGTGCATCAGCAGTGGACAGATGTAGATTTATCTTCTTAACCACCCACATGTGACACATGTGAAGTATGCCCCAGTGTGGTGACCATCTTCTTCTAACAGATTTGCATAGCTGTTTAAAAAAAAACAGCAGACTCCCGCTCCAAAGCCACTAATTAACATACAGCATGAAAATAAAAAACGAAGATGTTAAATTCCAAAAAGCTTCAGAATTCATCCGTTAGTTTCATCTGTCCAACGAATGCTGTTTAAGTCTAATCTGTCCTGTCTATTCATGAGGCTTATGAATGGATTGCACCTTGTGGTGAACACTCTGTATTTGCTCTAGTGAATTATTCTCTTTATGATAGACTTGAATAATGATTTGCCTACCTCCTGAAGAGTGTTCTTCACATGGCTGGATGTTGTGACAATGGAAAAGATCCTACGATCATGCACCACTGTTGTCTTCCGTGGACGTCGAGGCCTTTTTGTGTTGGAGTGCTCACCAGTGCGTTCTTTTTTTCTCAGAATGTAACTGTTGATTTGGCCACTCCTAATGTTCCTGCTATCTCTCTGATGCAATGTTTATTTGTTGCAGCCTAAGGATGGCCTGTTTCGCTTGCACTGAGAGCTCCTTTCACCCGATGTTGTGAGTTCACAGCAGCACTTAACAAATGTGAATGCCCATCTGGAATCAACTCCAGACCTTTTACCTTCTTAACTGATAACACACCTGTCCATGAAACAGCTTTTGAGTCAATTCTCTAATTATGTTTGGTCCCTTGAAAAAGAGGGGGCTACATATTAAAGAGCTTTATTTCCTAAACCCAATGTGATATATAATTAAGCTGAGAGACTGCACTTTAAGCCCATATTCATTATTTAACAGCAACTTGAAGATGTTTAAGTAAACAGCCAAAATAACAAAACTTGTATCAGTGTCCAAATGGACTTCACTGTAGCTGTCTAATCATAATGCTTTGTTTGCAAGTGATGAACAATCATCTGTTTTTTCTGTCTTTTATTACAGATCATTGATCATGAAACTCCAGTTGGAAGAACTTTTGTCAATTTTTTGTTAGTTTACTAACTGTGATGTCACTATTTAGGTTTGAGCGCCATCTTTAGGCCAACATGCACTACTTCAGTTCTTCCTTCAGTCCATGAGGAGAACCCACAGAGATGGAAAGAGAGGGAAACATTATACATCTGATTGTTGGTGAAAAAAAAACTGTATTTTGATGACGTAAATGTTCTCTATCTCTTCAGTGAGTCTTTAGCAACATATCTATTATTATGCGTCTTCTGCTGAACTCTACTTCACAGCACAATCCCAGCATTTCTTCAGAATCTTTAGCGATGATGCCAGAAAGGATCAACTTGGAAATCGGTGGTTGTCGGTGTGAGATATGCAAGTTAAAGTGAACATACATTTACTATAACCTCCTTTATGGACGGGTATGGTAACTGATGAAAACTGATACAACAGTCAAAAATTATATATCAAGCATGAAGAAATATAGTGGAAGGTGCCAGTTAGATGTGCAATTACACATCCTGTCGTTATATGTTTATATGATACAAAAATTACTTTAAAATGAAATGGTATTTTAGCTAAATTTAGGTGCTCAGTAAACTTGAATTTTGTCTTACTGAGATCTGGTTTTGAGGGAGGAAAAAAACTAACAGACTTTTTGGGGGAGTAAGTAATGCATCGATCTATATCTCATTTTCTTTCAGCATATAATCAGGTTTGAAGTTGAACTGACAAAGAAAAAAATTAGAGTTTTGTTTTGAATAATTTCCTCCATCTGCCATCTGAGTTTAGTTTCACACAGGTGTTCATATGCATGCTGCCATCTTTCAGCCTTTTCACTTCACATGTTGTAGTGTTATATTTGTCCAACAGATGGCAGGATAGAGATATATTTAAAACCGAGAGTGCGGGTTCTGTGATCCTGATCTGGTTACTTTCTTTCATTCTGTCTGTGTCTTTTTGGTTAGATTAGGCACAGGTCAGTTGGGTCTGAAAGCTCTGGGACAGATGTGTGGCAGTTGAATGCTATACTATACTATAGCTATATTGTTGAGGCCCTGTTTTGCAGAGACCCTGAGGGCTTAATTATTTTAGTTTATATTATGCTTACATGGTGCATTTCACTGCAAGAAAATGTGTTTATAACTTTTGCCATTTGCCATTTTTACCCTGGGTCCCCCTAATTTGTTAATATAGTTTATTAATATAATTTATTTATGAAAAAAAAGCTGAAATAGCCATATCTGTATTTTGTACAGATGCATGTACGCTGACTTTGGACACAAACACAGTTGCCAAGTCTCTCTTTCTGCACGATAGTGGAAAGCAGGTGACGTGGGTCAGGGAGACACAGCAGTACCCAGATCACCCCGACACGTTTGAGAGTGTCTCCCAGGTGCTGTGTCGCGAAGGCCTCACCCGACGCCACTACTGGGAGGTGGAGTGGCGAGGACGCTGGGTGGACGTTGCTGTGGTGATGAGGGGGATCCGTCGGAGGGCTGGCTCTCACCTGTGTGGGTTTGGATACACAGATCAGTCCTGGAGTCTGTTCTGCTCTGAGGATCACTACAGCGCTCAGCATGACAACCAGCCTGTAGAAATACCAGCACCCCCGTCTCGCTCCCACAGGGTTGGAGTGTATCTGGACTGGCCTGGTGGCTCCCTGTCCTTCTACAGTGTCTCCTCTGGGACTCTCAGTCACCTTCACACGTTCCACGGCTCCTTTACTGAGCCTCTCTACCCCGGGTTTGGGATGGAGGAGGATGACTGCTCTGTCACTATTTGCACAGTAGAGTGTTTGCCAACATTAATTTCTCGGTCAGCTAGTGCAGAAAGAATTGAGGAATTTTGACTGCACGTTGATTTGGGTTGCTGAACATTGAAATGTGATTAATAGGAGCAAAAGAGAATTCTGAATGTTCACTTATGCTATCTAAATGGATTTCAAACCTACAAGAAAAAGTAATGTATATATGAAAACATGGCCAGTGTTTGACAGAGATGCTCATAAGTCTCTGAGCTAATTTCCAAGTCAAGTCTCAAGTCTTTGAGCTAGAGTTCAAGACAAGTCTCTCATTGGTATAATGAGTGTTGTATCACCTTCTACGTTCAATCCAGGCTGCTTATAACACTGCATATATTTAAGGAATTCTGTAACTTGTCTTTTTCATTTACAGAGCACAACCATATAATGTGCACTGCAACAACTAATCACAGCTTATAAACTACTGTAAGTCAACACATCCCCCCCAGACTTTCAGACCAGTTTAATGTCTATGAAGATTCTCAGTCATCCAGGTCATAGTTATCCAACGAAGGTTAAAATCAAGGGCAACTGGACTTGGTTGAAGATACTGGAAGACATTTCGTCCCTCATCCAAAGGACTTCTTCAGTTCTGACTGACTGGCAGGGAAACTCAGCTATTTAACCTCAGAGGCCTCAGGTGAAGATACCAACGATGGTCGTTCAGTCTTGGCCACAGGTAGTCTTAACGACTGTAACGACTGTCGTCACAGCAACCAGGAACACTAATGAACCAGCGGTATCGATGACCCGAGATAACGACCCCACTGAGGTTAATAGCTGAGTTTCCCTGCCAGTCAGTCAGAACTGAAGAAGTCCTTTGGATGAGGGACAAAACGTCTTCCAGTAAGGGTAAAATAAATATGTTAATGTAGTTAATGTATATTCCTAAGCTTCTGACCTTTCAAAGGAGACCACAATTATGCATCTAGGCCTAATGGTTGAGGAGTTATTCCTGATTGATTTTGGGTATGTTATTTTAGGTGTTTTTCCTGGAAAAGGGTGTCTGTTTTCAGCAGGTTAAGTACGACTTGAGTACAAGTCTCAAATTCGCGTCCCCATCTCTGAGAGGTATAGCCAGATGGGAAAAGTCAGAGAACCAAGTCTGTAAAAACTGCTAGTGTTGAAATGTCACAGTTGTGAAAGTTGTGTGAAATACTTCATAAAAAGAGCAAGTTGCTTAAGAGAAATATGGGAAGTTACGGAGATGACTGGGTGTTTTGAGTTTGCTCCTAATCAGTCTGCATATCAGGAAGTGCCTTCATTTATCTAAAACAGAGGTGTGTTAGTTTAGTCAGCTGGAAAATGTGCCGTTTCTGTAGTTGACCAGGGATTCAAGGTTCACCCAACATATAGTAAATATTTGCAGACATAAAGGATTGGCTGTTAATGGTCGTATTTTACCATTTAGTCTTGTGAAAGTAAATGAACGTTAAATTGTCTGGTATCTCTCATTTCTAAGCCTGTCACTTTGCAAGGGTTGAGTTGTGAACTACAGTTTTTATTTGACATTCAGTGACACAGCAGCTGCCGGTGCGGTCAACATGTGTGTCTGTGCGCAGCAGATACATACAGTGCCTTGCGAAAGTATTCGGCCCCCTTGAACTTTTCGACCTTTTGCCACATTGCAGGCTTCAAACATAAAGATATAAAACTGTAATTTTTGTGAAGAACCAACAACAAGTGGGACACAATCATGAAGTGGAACGAAATTTATTGGATATTTCAAACTTTTTTAACAAATAAAAAACAGAAAAATTGGGCGTGCAAAATTATTCAGCCCCTTTACTTTCAGTGCAGCAAACTCTCTCCAGAAGTTCAGTGAGGATCTCTGAATGATCCAATGTTGACCTAAATGACTAATGATGATAAATAGAATCCACCTGTGTGAAATCAAGTCTCCGTATAAATGCACCTGCTCTGTGATAGTCTCAGAGGTCCGTTTAAAGTGCAGAGAGCATCATGAAGAACAAGGAACACACCAGGCAGGTCCAAGATACTGTTGTGGAGAAGTTTAAAGCCGGATTTGGATACAAAAAGATTTCCCAAGCTTTAAACATCCCAAGGAGCACTGTGCAAGCGATAATATTGAAATGGAAGGAGTATCAGACCACTGCAAATCTACGAAGACCCGGCCGTCCCTCTAAACTTTCAGCTCATACAAGGAGAAGACTGATCAGAGATGCAGCCAAGAGGCCCATGATCACTCTGGATGAACTGCAGAGATCTACAGCTGAGGTGGGAGACTCTGTCCATAGGACAACAATCAGTCGTATTGAGAAGAAGAAAGCCATTTCTTAAAGATATCCATAAAATTCTCCTTTAACGTTTGCCAGAAGCCACCTGGGAGACACACCAAACATGTGGAAGAAGGTGCTCTGGTCAGATGAAACCAAAATCGAACTTTTTGGCAACAATGGAAAACATTATGTTTGGCGTAAAGGCAACACAGCTCATCACCCTGAACACATCATCCCCACTGTCAAACATGGTGGTGGCAGCATCATGGTTTGGGCCTGCTTTTCTTCAGCAGGGACAGGGAAGATGGTTAAAATTGATGGGAAGATGGATGGAGCCAAATACAGGACCATTCTGGAAGAAAACCTGATGGAGTCTGCAAAAGACCTGAGACTGGGACGGAGATTTGTCTTCCAACAAGACAATGATCCAAAACATAAAGCAAAATCTACACTGGAATGGTTCACAAATAAACATATCCAGGTGTTAGAATGGCCAAGTCCAAGTCCAGACCTGAATCCAATCGAGAATCTGTGGAAAGAACTGAAAACTGCTGTTCACGAACGCTCTCCATCCAACCTCACTGAGCTCGAGCTGTTTTGCAAGGAGGAATGGGCAAAAATTTCAGTCTCTCGATGTGCAAAACTGATAGAGACGTACCCCAAGCGACTTACAGCGCAGCAAAAGGTGGCGCTACAAAGTATTAACTTAAGGGGGCTGAATAATTTTGCACGCCCAATTTTTCTGTTTTTTATTTGTTAAAAAGGTTTGAAATATCCAATAAATTTCGTTCCACTTCATAATTGTGGAACGCTTGTTGTTGATTCTTCTTGATTCAGTTTTATATCTTTGTTTGAAGCCTGCAATGTGGCAAAAGGTCAAAGTTCAAGGGGGCCGAATACTTTCGCAAGGCACTGTAGTATGTGTTATGTAAGTAGTGTATACAGTGAGGAAATTAAGTATTTCAACACCCTGTTATTTTGCAAGTTCTTCTGATTTCTGGATTATTATTATTTTTTTTTTTAGATTATGTCTCTCACAGTGGACATGCACCTACGATGACAATTTCAGACCCCTCCATGATTTCTAAGTGGGAGAACTTGCAGAATAGCAGGGTGTTCAAATACTTATTTTCCTCACTGTATATGTACAAAATGTGGTGCCAATCCATCAAGCTGATGAGAGATTTCACCAGATGACCGAAAAGTTTGACCTGCTGGTGATCCACTTAAGAGAAATACGGGAAGTTACTGAGATGACTGGGTCTGTTGTTGAGTTTGCTTCTACTGAGTCTGCATATCTGGAAATGCCGCCCATTTATCTAAACAGAGGTGTGGTATTTAAGTCAGTTGGAAAATGTTCCGTTTCTTTAGTGGAAGTGACCAGGGATACAAGGCTCACCCAAGACACAGTAAGTATTTGCAGAAAGAAAGGATTGGCTGTTAATGGTAGTATTTTACCATTTAGTCTTATGAAAGTAAATGAAGGTTGATTTGTCTGGTGTCTCTCAATTGTAAGACTATCACTTCGCAAGGATTGAGTTGTGAACTGCAGTTTTCATTTGACATTCAGTGACACTGCAACACTGCTGTGCGTGTTTACTGTACATTAAAATATATTAAAATTTAAATAAATGTAAAACATTGATATGATCTATCATGGCTAACATGTCACTTTTAAACTCTGAAAACCAGGTCAAAATGAAGAGGCTGGTTGGGTATTGTGGGCTCATCTTGGCATTTCTTTTGAGCTGCACAGAACAGGCACAGGTACATTAACCTCTCCTCCTCTTTGCAATGTCTTCCCCCTCTATTTTCTTTAATATGTTTAGGACAAGAACATATTTAGTTTCTTCTCTAGCTCTGGCTGTAATGCCTGTATTTTTAAGTTGCACATTTACAGTCACCAAGTCTCACTTTAAAACTGTTTCTGTGGTATTCCTAGGAACAGAGGAAAGCAGTTTTTTCTCAAGGTATGGTGAATGTTATTATTGCTTACAGTAGCCTATACTTACAAGTTCATGTAAATTATCCAAATGAATTACAAATTAGGTACAAGGCACAATGCATTCTAATTTAAGGTTGATCATCCTCCTCTTGTTTTTTTTCTCTTGTCATGTTAACCTCAGGAACAGACTGCACACAGATTAAGGTTCGCTCACCAAAAGCATCCAGTGGGGTTTATGTAATAAAGCCTCCGGGAGTCAAGACCCCATTTAAGGTATCATACCTAAACCTGACATGAACACACGTCAGTTTTGTAAGCTGAAATGACAACTTCCGCTTGCAGATTTCATCAGCTGTAGCCAGCTAAATTATGCTAAACCTAACTTTATGAGTCTGTTGGAAATGCCATCTTCAACTGACTTTTAATGTTTCCACATGACATTTTAAAATGAGGATGCGGTAAAGGGGCGGTAAATATGTACTTGATGGCTACATGAATGATATTGTGCTAAAAGACTGTATTAAGCATCCTTGCATGCACTTGTTTATTTAACCCATATTGTGATCTTTTCCACAGCCCTGTACAAGAAGTCTCAGTCACACACTTTCCCAGTCTTCTTAACAGTTTTGTAACAGCTGGTCTCCCTGCTCAGGTGTACTGTGAGATGCGACCTGATGGAGGCTGGATGGTGTTTCAGAGGCGCATCGGAGAAGCGGTTTCCTTTAACAGGAAATGGGCAGCATATAAAAATGGTTTTGGTAATCTGACAGGTAAGTAAAGTACTTTTAACTGTACTGTGTCATTACTTGAATTCTAATTTACAGTTTGTGTAAATATCCCTTCATACAAATGAACATACAAGATAAGGGATTCAATTTGCTGTTAAGGTAAAACATTGACAAAAAAGCAATTTTCCCTAACTTTTGAAAAGTGTTTTGAATAAGGGCATCCTCTGAGTAGTAACATGTAGCCTACTGGAGAAGTGATTTTGTGCGAAGACGAGAAATGAAATGTAAATCCTCGTGCTGTGCCGATTCCCTCAGGCGACCACTGGCTCGGTCTGAAGAGGATTTTCTTTCTGACCAAACAAAAGACCAAGAAGTGGACCATGAGAGTCGACCTCTGGGACCACGAAGGTGGCTCTGCTTTCGCTGAGTACACAAACTTCAAATTGGGCAATGAGAAAGCAGCTTTCAAACTGCATGTCGGGAAATACAGAGGAACTGCAGGTACTGCAGGCTTTTCTAATGACTTCTTTTTAGCTTTTCTCTTTTCCTTTTGCTCTTTATAAACACACAGATGCCCTCCCATTTAT